GATTACCGGCATGTGCTCACATTTTCTATATCTTCTCTGAAAGCTTCTTACATGTTTGGTGGTCTTAAAATAATCATTAGACATTAGTCCCATGTGTTTGAGAATGAATGGTCAGGGAATTGAAAAGTGTATAAAATATGCGGTGTGCATTTGTTGCTACTTTGTGAAGTGCTTACCTTGGTAAGTTATTTATGGACGGAGTCGCTATTTGTCCTCTGTGCTGAATTAACGCCACTGGGAGCCGAAGTGCAGTGTCATGCAAGCCTGCGAAGGGATGAAGGATTCAGTGAGCAACATAGGAGACCTCTAATAGGGTGAATCACAAGGAAGACTCTGACCCTCTGTCAGAACTTCTCCCCCACTCATGCATATGTTTGCCTCTATTATAGACAGACGGTGTCAGGGCACGGTCGTGGGTTAAGGAGCAGTGCGGACATCTTGTAGTGGGCTATTGTCTACTGTGCATAAAACAACACGGCACACTTTTCAATGAGATGTGCCTAAGCTTCATTCAAACAGTTACACTGCAGGTTAACAGTGTAACCTGGAACAATCCCTAACTAATGTTGATTAACCACCATTAGAGTTGTTATGAATTTATTAAGTGATTTAAATGCCTTTGTATTTAATCCTACCCTCAACCCAACGCTGGCACTTACTAATATTTTTTTACCATTTTGTACATTCGAGCAGTATAGGGGCTATCAGTAAATAAGTGCTATGCATACTGGTAGCCAGAAAAACGCTGACAAATATGGGTAGGCGACGGCGTCTAGTTGCCCTCGTCTTAAACTAAATTACACTGTGCTAGCAGAACCCCTTCCTATCAAACAAGATTCTGTCTCAATGATGTTGCACACTGTCTGACATGTCAGAAATCAGTCTGTGTAGTGATTTAAACAATATGTACAGGACAGGGTTCAAATGGGTTTGCATTTTTTCAATATGTACCAGAATGCAAACGTACACCTAAATTAATGTGGACTTGTTCTTTGTCCTTATACATACACACATATTGTTCTGACGCATAGATATATTGTTTTCCTTTATAGATATGTGTGTTCCTTGGCTCAGCGACTCACTGTTGGAGTCTTCATTTTATCACCAGACAGGATTAAGCCTGGTGGCATTTTTGCTCAGATTACTTGCAGATATTCATCTTTATCAACTGTGCTAAAGTTGAGGGTTAAATAGGAGAGTAGCAGCGAACTAAACCTCACTACCTTCAACCCCCCCTCCCCCTCCCCTCCCTCTCCCCTCCCCTCCCACCTTGGCATATACTTAAAGCTTACTGCCAGACAAACATGTTCAAAGTGACTGGACATGCCCAAATATGCTTTTGAAACATATAATGATGCCTCTAACCACTAGTTCAGATCTGCCATTAGTAAACAATGGAGAGAAACACACACTTGTTTTTCCACCTCACACTCAAATAGGCAGAGGGAAGGTAGAGCTGAGAGAGAAGAGGTCGTTTTATTACTGTTTCGAATCCACATTAAACATAGTTTAGAAAATTCGTATAGTATTCGGAGAAGCCAATAAATATTCTGAGCTGGATAAAAGGATTGTCCACATTTGTATTGTATCACACCTTGTAGTCCTCATATTTCGCAAAAATGTGTGTAAGGAAACTGTTGTGTTGAATTGTCCATGTTTCAAAGCTGGTGTAGAAAAGTCATTGTGGGTTTTTTGGCAAAAAAGCTAAGATTATGACAGATTTAGTAAGACTTACTGGTAATTACAAGGCTTGCTTTCCAAAGCTCATATTTTCCCACTGTTCTCTCTTGTCCTCTATTGTGTAATTGTGTAGAAATGTTGGCAGGCTCTGCAGGTATTTTGCATGACGTTAGACATCTGACATAAAGGAAGCATAGTCTCAGTTTCTTTTCTCACCTTCAGCCATGAGGGTACTCTCTGTTAACAATAAACACGCTTTCTGTTGCTAAGCATTCTTACAGGTAAGTACAAAAATAATGAACCATTAAGAGCCACATGTAAAAACATTACAGTTGACATATCTACAAAAAACATGATCCACAAATGTCACAGTGTTCTAGAAGACAGCTGCACCGTTTTTTTTTTTTACCTTCTCCACTGTTGTCGCACCGATGACAAGTTTGTGTTTGCTAGCCATAATGAGCAAACAGCTCACAGACAGACGCAGTGTTTGTCTCTCTAGTGTTCTCGTTCAGTTGCCTTATAATTAGCAGCGAAGCCCCAGCAGTGTTGCAGCATTTCTTCTTGAGGACCCCTGCCCCACTGCCTCCTCCTCAGTGCAGGGCTCTGTCACAACATGACCAAGTGTCAGGAGGAATGTAGGCTCCTCCACTGCCAGGGTAATCCACCTCTGCTGGCTCATTAACCAGCTTCAAATAACTTAGTGGTCCTTTTTTAATATAGAATAAAATAATGTGTTATAGTGGTGCTTTTGGAGAGCATAATCTGGAAAGTTTAAATAAAAATGTGATAAAATTGAATGATCCAAAAACAACCAGGACACCCGCAGTACGTAGAGGACCTATTGTACCAGGGCTGTTTGAGCAATACTAGAGTGTGATGCCATAACACTTTCATGTTTGTCCGATATCCTTGAGTTTAGGTGAACCATGAAAAAGCACAAATTCAATTGTCACCAGACTAAAGGGCTGATAGCAGAGAAAAAAACATGTCTCTGCCACAGTTGTAACCTTCCAGATATGCCTGTAGGCCATGATCATAGGCACACCTGCTCGACATTAATAAATCAACACTTTCCTTAAAGGTACACTGTGTTAGATTTAGAAAGATCTATTGGCTATCGGCAGAAATGGAATATAATGTAGAGGACATAACCAAATCCTTCACACAGCTCCTTCAATTGGTATAACTATATAATAAAAACGTGTGTGGAGATTTAGGAACACAAGACAACACTTTGTGGAGGGCTTTTTCATAAAGAGTGATGCAACACAACAAAATGCAGTAACCCCAGTCCTTTATGCCACACGGAAAACATGACAAGACACAACAGAACAAAAGCAGTAGTAGCAGTTGTGCATTCCTGAAGTGCATTTTTTAAATGTGCAACTCAAATCTGTTATTGCACCAGTTAACTGTTATCTCTCTCCATCTCATTGTGATAGTTCATGTGCTGTGTGTTCAACATGTGCTAGTATCTGCATGTGTCCTCAATTGTTACCAAGCTCTCATACAGGAAATTGGTGAGGGAGGAAAGAGCGAGGCATAATCCGAAAATGATACTTTACCTTTTGAACACAATTATCATGCTTCCTCTGCAGTCTGGTGTAAGAAAGGGCATAATGAAAACAAGGTATTATTTCATTATTTAGATTTTAAGTTGTTGCTATACTCTGGTTCCTAAATCAAAGGTCAAATACAGAGGTCATGGCTGTATGGCATTAAGTATTTGAATAATATAAACCTGACAGTCCCGACACATTTGCTGTTTAATCATTATAGGAGCTATCTGGATTACTTATTTCAAACTCTCGTACGGTATAGAAACAGGGGGGGGTACCTTTAGCTTGCAACAGGTTCATCGTTATTTCACCCTTGAAGGCTTGCATGACATTTCAAAATCTGACAGTTGGCAGAGTGGTTATTTGCACAACATGCTTTCTTTAGGTCTTTCACATTGCTTGCACTTTTTTGGAGTGACTTAAATATATGAACACCGTGATAACTTTGTTATACTTCTTAAGCCACTTATGCTACTTCTTGTATGATACTGTACTCAATTTCCACAAGAGATTTGTGGGCATCCTAATGATTTTTATAGTTTTTCTAATAGAACTGTCATAATACAGCAACCTTGTAATTTAATCTCATGAATCTCTTTTTAAGATCGCAATATTAAAATGGCTGACCTTCACAATCTCCTTCTGTTACATGAACTGCCAAGATACTTGCACCTTGCCTCTGGGTTGAAAATCTCAGCTTTGAATAGTGTGGCCTTTACACAGTAACTATTGTAGCACTAAGGTAGTTACTACATAGTTGAATAATGATGACATTTATATTAATACATCTTTTCCAGATACCTTACCCCTCAATGCTTCTTTCTGCAACATCAATTGCATTTGTACCTTCTGTTGTTCTTAACCACCATAGGTATTACATAAGATGGAGATGTCAGGTTTATGTTGTTACACTAAGCTGCTTTGAAGTGTAAAGAAGGAGACATCCTTATCATAAAGCTATATACATTGAACACTTAAAATACAGCTTTACTCAACGCGTGGCTATTTTAGGTTTGGTTTGTGAAGTAATATAAATGAAAATATGAAGGGTTTGCTATTTTGCCTGTTTTGTTGTAGGCTTTGTTTGGTTTACCTAATTATTACAGAGCCGTTCCTCTGATCTATTTACTATTTACTTCCGTTTTGTTTTTTTCTGCATGGGCTTGTGTGGACATTGCATTAAGTACAATGCTAGAATAGTGTTTTCAAACGGCAGACAGACCTTGTGTCCTAGAAAGGAGGTCACCTTGTTAGGTAGCAGAGCAGGATTAGTTTATTACTCCCCTGGCCCATATGTCTGAGCTGCTGTTACAGCTTAATATATTGTGATTCTTTTTTTAAGTCCGGCCCCAATAAAGAAACCACTCATATAATTGCCTTTTCGGACAATTTAGCATTGTCACTTTTATCATCTAAACGCACATAATCAGGGTAATTAGCATAGCACACATGAGCGGAGCCATCAGTAAACATTGGTCTGAGGAGTGAAAACCTCTCACTAAGCTGTCAATGCAGTGATCCCAGAGACTTAATGGTACAGCTTATCTGTAAAATGAACTACTCACGACACAGGCTGAAGTCCTTGTGATTTCCCGCTCAGGACTAATCTTGGTTATTGACTGTGTTGGTGTTTGTTTAAAGCAAAATGTAATCCTTGTTAATATTTATTTCTAACAAGAATGATACTCAAGCCAGTGGCGTCTCAGTTATCAGTGATGTAACTTCAGCATTTCTCACTCCCTGTTGTTTCCTTTGCAGATGAGCGTGAAGCAGTGCAGAAGAAGACCTTCACCAAATGGGTAAATTCTCACTTGGGCCGGGTGACCAGTCGCATCGGGGACTTGTACACCGACCTCCGCGATGGCCGCATGCTCATCCGCCTTCTGGAAGTGCTCTCTGGAGAACAGCTGGTCAGTATCTCACAGACACACAGAACCCCCCCCCCCCTCTGTCCTAACCCTGACCCAAGCCCTGAGGGGCCATGACCCTCAGACAGCACCACGAGGAAGGACAAATCATGCGCTCCAGTTCTTCTTTATTTGAGTGTGATTTACTTCTCCCCCTGTTTCTTGTTCTTCTCTTTTGAAATTGCTGATGTCCTAATGTATGTTTGGATCCCTTTTCGTCTATATATCTAACTTTTGTCTTCTTTGTTTTTCTTCTGCTCCCCACAGCCAAAGCCCACAAAGGGCCGCATGCGTATCCACTGCCTGGAGAATGTTGATAAAGCCCTGCAGTTTCTCAAGGAGCAAAAAGTCCATCTAGAAAACATGGGCTCACATGACATTGTGGATGGTAATCACCGTCTCACGCTGGGTCTCATCTGGACAATCATCCTTCGCTTCCAGGTAACATATAAAGCATATTAAGTGGAGCGCGTGCCAGATTGCTTTACCTCTTTCAAAGAGCGATTTTAGCCTTTGGGACATCAGGTCTCTGCATGAAGCCCGTACTTAGGCAAACTCACAAAATGTTTAAAATGTTAAGTTAACAGTATTCATGCTTTTCATGAATCACAGTCATTGCCTGTCAATTTCTGGCCCCTTTTCTGAACGTTTTTATAATATACTAACAGAAAATAAATTACAGTTATAATATTGCGAGTTCTGCTCTTCTCACAGATCCAGGACATCAGTGTGGAGACAGGGGACAACAAGGAGAGAAAGTCAGCTAAAGAAGCCCTGCTGCTTTGGTGCCAAATGAAAACTGCTGGGTGAGAAGAGGGAGAGAGAGAGAGGACTCAATTACACATATTTTACCATATTTTACCATGTATGCGTTACTTGGTTCTACTGTATTGGCCACTGACTTGTGCTGTGTTGAGTTAATGATTGATGACTTCTGCTCTGGCCTTTGCAGATACCCCAATGTCAACATCCACAACTTCACAACCAGCTGGAGAGACGGTCTGGCGTTCAGTGCCATCGTGCACAAACACAGGTCATTGACTTCTTCCTGTACTCAATGTTATCGGCTCCTACAGTAAAACTGGCTCCTGTTAGGCACACACTTATATATAATTAATAACAACAGGTCCTTTGTTTAAAGTGTGGATTTCAGATACTCATCCTGGAAATCAAAAAGGTGTCCGGTATCTCCCCCCCCCATCTTTTATCTCCCCTAATCTAATGCACCTGTCGCAGAAGCATCACACCTCTCAGGTGTGTTTTTATCCCCTTTTCCATTTAGGTCTCCTCATACTCCTCCCATCCTTCAATACGTCTGCAGTATGGCTTAAAGGCTGAAGATAAAATAGGGTGTAAGATGACCTAGATCACAGAAATAATAACCCACTTATTTCCAAAAAGGAGCCATGTTTGATTACTCACTTGCACACCCTGCTCTTCATGTAAATCTTGACGCTGCCATTTACATGATCAGGTTTCTTTGCAAACTACAGAAGAGGCAACAAAGCAAACATTTACAGTATGCAAAGAGTTGTTTCCCTTACATTGTTAAAGTAACTGTAAGAAAATTCCTTAAAGGGGACCCATCATGCAAAATGCACTTTTTGATGTCTTTCATACATAAAGATGTGTCCCCGGTGTGTCAGGGAACTCACGCAGCGTCAGAAAATAAAACCCTCTCTCTTTTCCTCCGTACCCACATCTCTAAAAATGGGGGCACAACGGAGCTGTTCCAGATTTGCGTCCAATATGACGTAATATCGGAAATGTGGACCCACGGCACTATGGGAAACGTTACTATCAGAAACAATGCCCGACTGTTTTGGACGTAACATGGTCGGTGTTTACATTAGCATTGCTAACACTCAGAGCTAACCTGTACTGGAGAGCATGTGTGTGAAGAAGCAGGAAATAAAAAGGAACTCACCTTGTGGTATAACCAGCAAGAGAGAAAGCCTTTGAGCTCCATACTGTTTCAGAGAGAATCCTTGATAATCCATGATATGGCGTTTCATCACGGCAGTATTTAGTTTAGACAGTAGCTGCCGGGTCCCGCATGAGCTCAGCCTCCTCCTTTTTTTTTTTATCCATTTTTTTTTTTAAAGCTTTATTCCCAAAATCAGCACTTTTGAAACAGGAAGTGAAATATAGGGATATGAGGCATGGCTACAATGGGTGATCTGTTTGGTATTTTGAGCAAAAACACTTCATAGACATGTTTTTTATATATTTGTATATATCTGAGACCTATGCTATTGCCTAAAAATAGCATGACACTTTAAGTTTATTGAATTAAGAACATGCTGGAGAACCAAAGGTTCCATGATTATTGTACAAATCAAACTTTTGGATTTTGTGCTCATTCCCATTTCATTTTTCATTTCATTTTCATTTCAAACCTTTATTTAACGAGATTGGTCCCATTGAGATCATAGATCTCTTTTTCAAGGGAGACCTGCAGCATATAGGTTCCACATGAAACATAAAACAATAAAGGACATTATACATTATATTTACAGGATACATTTACATAGTTATAGACATTTACAAGTGCCCATAGTATCAACGAGCATTTCATTTAGCCTAGCTTTAAAAACATGCAGAGGAATGAGATTGCTCAGTTTCAATTGTTGCTGAAGATTGTTCCAAGCAAGTGGAGCTGCGCACATAAAAGCTGTCTTACCTAAGACAGTCCTTGCTCTTGGCACATCTAACAATACTACATCATGCGTTCTCAGACAATAGCTGCTTGCAACTCTCTGTGTTATCAGAGAGCAGATATAATACGGGAGTTTACCCAACAAAGCTTTATAACAAAACCCATATTTTGAGAACAACAGTTCTTGATATTTATTCAATGAAGTTGAATTATATATAAGCTCCCAAACCAATTTTACATCCCTCTAATTCCTAAGAAGGCCCAAAATGAAAACATGGCTCAGGCAACAATAAGCAATACTTGGCAGAAGCATCTCGCCTAATCCACAAATAAAAAGCCTGTTTGCATGCATGTGACTATTCTTTCATCTAATGCTTTATCTAATGCACCCTGGTCTTTAAACAAACACATGCATTGGAGTTGAGTGCACAAGGTGTTTTCTCTTCATTAATAAAATGACTGTGTGTCAACCTGAGAAATATTGCAAATGGCTTGCACCTTACTTTACAATCCGTTAATATTAAAACCATAAATGTTCCCTGGTCATTGCAGACCTGACGTGATTGAGTTCGACAACCTGAAGAGGTCCAATGCTCACTACAATCTCCAGAATGCTTTCAATGTGGCTGAGAAGGATTTGGGACTCACTAAGCTGCTGGACCCAGAAGGTGAGTGGGTGAAACCTCGACAAAAACATGAAGCATTTCTATCACAAGTCACACTGACGACACTGTCCACACAGGCACTAAACTGGGGCCTGTTGCCTGAACAGATTGATGGTTGTTCAGGATTACTGGAATTAATTCTAGTTTAGGCAACACAGCATCACATGTCAGCTACACTGACATCACAAATGGTGTTTCCATTTTAGCACCTAATCAACTTATTAAAACTTGACATTTAAAAGGTGAAGTGATGAAGTCATATGTCATTCAGCAATTACTGATTTGCAGATTAGTTTTAAAGCAGAGCCTGCTGTGTAAAGTACCACATCATGATACACCGTATGTGTCGCTGATAAAAAAAGGAACAATTTAAAAAATCTGATATTTGTCATTAATTTCACATTTTAAAAAAAATATCATGCAACCCTAGTTTAGGTTCTTTCACTTGCAAATGGATCATACTAGGGCTGTGCAATTAATTGTATTTTAATCTTGATTTTGGCTTGCAACGATTACGAAAACAACGTAATCAAAATAAAACGATTTTTTTTTTATTGGTTTTTCAGTTTAATTAAACTTAAAGTTCAGGGTAATCAACTGTTAAAAACATATTGTTAAAAAAAAAGTTTTCAATAAAAGGATGTTTTCAAAGTAAATGGATAATCGTTTTTAATAATCGTGATATCAATTATTGACCAAAATAATCGTGATTATGATTGTTGCCATAATCGCACGGCCCTAGATCATACTATCTTTTTTATTTTCAGATGTTAATGTTGATCAGCCAGATGAAAAGTCCATCATTACCTATGTGGCGACCTACTACCATTACTTCTCCAAGATGAAAGCCCTGGCAGTGGAAGGCAAACGTGTTGGAAAGGTTTGCTTTGTTCTGTGTGTATCAGAATCAGAATACCTTTATTAGTCCCACGGAGGGGAAATGTGCGTAGTTACAGCAGGAAAAAGAGCCACAGACAGCTTAATGGTACATATGTTAAATATGTGACATGCATTAAAAAAAAAGTACTAAGTTATGATATAATAAAATGTTACATAATTTAAAAAAAATACACATCCTGTAAAAGTTCTTAGGATTTAGCAGCCATGTATATATTACACAGTTATTAACGGCATTTATATATATTGCACATCTAGCACTTATTGCACATATGTGGTTGGTATTTAACAGCAGCAAGTTAGACAATTTACAAAATACACACCTTGTAACAGTTCTAAGGATTTAGCTGCCAGGTATATATTACACAGTTATTAACGGCATTTATATATTGCACATAGTTTGTTAGTATTTAGCAGCAAGGGGTGATATAGTCTGTGTTGTGTGTGGGAGGGGGGGGGGTCAACTAGGGGCTGTGCTGTTTGTATAGTCTGACCGCTACAGGAAGGAAAGACCTGCGGTATCTCTCCGTGAGACAGTGTATGCATGTTTAAAAACAGTGGGTACATGTACAGTACATGGGAAGATGCCCACCAGTTGCCTTGATTCACAGATCCCTCTCTGTTGCAGGTACTGGACTATGCTATTGAGGCTGACCAGCTGATAGACAAGTATGAGTCCCTTGCCTCAGAGCTGCTGCAGTGGATTGAGCAGACCATAGGGACGCTGAACGATCGGCAGCTAGCTAACTCACTGAATGCTGTGCAGAACCAGCTCCAGGCGTTCAACTCATACCGGACTGTGGAGAAACCCCCCAAGTGAGTAACAGAAGGCTAGGTTAACATAAACACAATGAATGACAATCTGCTTGTTATCCAATATAATTCAAAGTGTGTTGTTCCAAAATGTTAAACCAAGGTGTCTGTCTCCCCAGATTTACAGAGAAAGGGAACTTGGAGGTTCTCCTTTTTACCATTCGGAGCAAGATGAGAGCCAACAATCAGAAAGTGTACATGCCAAGAGAGGGCAAACTCATCTCTGACATCAATAAGGTATGGGTTGCTGTATAACGTGCTACAAATGGTTTTCCTCTAGAAATATGAAACTCATGTTTAATAATGTCATCAAATCAACACAAGCATGATTCTGGGGAAATTGTTAAAGGTCCCATGTCATGCTTTTCTGGTTATTACCCGTCCCCTTGTGTGTTATGAAGTTGTTTATGCATGTAAACGGTCTGCAGAGTCACAAACTCTCGAAGTGCACCCTGTAGCGAGTAAAACTCTAACACAGAAAATACCTGTCTATGCTGACCCAGAACGCCTCGTTGGAGATTTTTTACTTCTTGGGTATAGTGATGTATTTAGTGATGTAACGTAACGTCCGTGAAGCCTTTACGTTTGGACCAATCCGCGGACTTCCTCACACACACACGCACGGCGGGACGTTGCGAGGCTCGTTGCTGCGAGGAGTGGGACAGTGTGAGCTGGCTCACTGGTGTGGGGTCAGCGAGACACCGCGGAACTCAGCCTGAGCACACACACAAACTCCCAGCCAGGCTGCGGGTGTGTGTGTGTGTTCGGCTGGGTTTCGCTGTGTCTCGCTGTCTCGTAGACGGCCACTGGGCTCTAAGGGAGGGGGGGGGCAGGAGCTCCAACAAGCCGTTTAGGACAGAGAGTGAATACACATACTATACAGAGATGCTGTATGAGAAACCAATGTGAGTTTGGAAAATTGCACAATATAAATCTATTCTAGTAGACCTCAACAATGGAATTATGATCAGTAGAAATGGCCATGACATGGGACCTTTAATGTTCGACTGAATGTTTTCCTAGCCCGCAGGATTATCATCTAAAAACTGGGTTTTACAAATCGGCCTCATCGTGTATGCAGTATATGTTTCCTAGTTGCAGGATGTAACCAACTGTTTCTATTTACATGTGGCAGGCATGGGAGCGATTGGAAAAGGCAGAACACGAACGAGAGCTGGCTCTGAGGAATGAGTTGATTCGCCAGGAGAAGCTGGAGATGCTCGCTGCACGTTTTGACCGCAAAGCAGCTATGCGGGAGACGTGGCTGAGTGAGAACCAGAGGCTGGTGTCTCAGGTAGTCAAACTAGATTTGATTCAATCAACAAAAACACATATATGGCTGCAGATACTTTCTGATTTCTGTCTGAATACATTGAATAGTTTTAATGTGATAAGCTCACTCATCTCTCTCACTAGGATAACTTTGGGACTGACTTGGGAGCCGTGGAAGCTGCCACCCGTAAACACGAAGCCATCGAGACAGACATCGGGGCTTATTGGGAACGCGTGGCTGCTGTGGAGTCCGTTGCCAAAGAGCTGGAAGCCGAGAGATACCATGATGTGCGGCGTGTGACTGCGAGAAGGGATAACGTGCTCCGACTCTGGGAATACCTGAAAGAGCTTCTGGCCGCACGAAGAGAGCGGCTGAACGCCCATCGTGACCTCCAGAGACTGTTTGAAGAGATGCGCTACATTATGGACTGGATGGCAGACATGAAGGTACTGACCCCCTGCTGTGCATTTCTTCTTTCTGTTGGCTTTGTTTTTAATCAACAAAAAGGAATGTTCTAATCCTCTCAATGAAGTGAGTCGTTGTTCACATATGGCAGCTTTAGTGTCTGCGCTAATCAGTGCATCATTAACGGCAGTAATTAGCTTTACTGAATTTGGCTAGACTTCAACCACTAGGAGTGTTTCTTTTTCTCCTTGCATGGTTAAATCTTGGTCAAAATGTGTGTTTTTATCAATAATTATTACATGGCTTAGTTGAATACTCGATTCTGATTGGTCAATTCAGAACACGTGACACGTTGTTAATCCAGTAGTACAGACCGCTGTTAAGCACGTATTGACCGTTGTTAAGGACGCTCACATCTGCACAAAGAAGTTCGGTCGATTTAACTGTATGCCGTTTTCGAACTGACAAGACAAGAGCGACGAGAAAACAGGGGAGAAGTAACGGGCAGAAACCCTCCTTTTTACGCAGCGGTCCAGACATAGACATCAAACGGCAAAACATATTCAGTTGCCAGTTACTTTGGCATTAGGGCAGGGATATATAGATACTTTCCAAGGTTTGACGTAATGAATTGTGCTACTTTTAAAGCAAGCAACGATGTTTTCAAATCTGTAATCAAAAAGCTCCGCCTTCCTGCCGTTGCTACGTATTTCAAACGGTAACAACGGACTATTTTTCTTAGCGGATGCATGTCAATTTAAATCAATACATACAACTATTTTGTAAATCAATAAAAACATTTTCTAAATCCATAAAAGCATTTCAATTCATATTGGGAGTCATGTCGTTACTTTGTTGAGAATGATGTGGCCATATAATAATCGGGATAATGTGTAGCGACTTGGTCATTATGGGGAAATTCTTCTTTTCCCAATATTGACCAAGTCGCTGCACATTATCCCTTACTTGTTTTCAAATTGTGAACATCCATATATAAGGCATCTGTTTAAAATACTAACATGCTTTCCTCTCAACACCTTTAACCAAATATAGCTTATATCTTATTTGGTACTCTTATCATTACTAACTAACAAAGAATTGTTTTAATTTAATGAGGAAGAATTGGATGGATGGATTCATTGCTTCTGTAATTTGCAGTGGTTACTAGAATCATGTTGTTAATGTCTTGGTTTGTAATCAGCCATTACTATATAATGAGAATGCTTGTAGAGAGAATATGATGTATTTTTTAACTGTGGCTTTAGCACAGTGTGATGTCGTGATATAATGGTCTTCTGCTCTAATGGCTCAGATAGAGGCATTCTCTCAGCTGTGGTTTGAGAACCAAGGCTCAGGCTCCCTGTGTGTTCAGGTTAATGGTCTGAGGATGCAGCTTGCTGAAATTCTATCCGCTGTTATAATAGTTTTTTTGGTCGTTTAGATTATCACCAAGTACAAGACGTATCTCAATGAATGGTCATGATGTTTGAGGAGACACCGACATTCCTGGTGCTGCTTTGTTGGAGGATTAAAGGTCCCATGTCATGCTTTTCTGGTTATTACCCGTCCCCTTGTGTGTTATGTAGCTTTTTATGCATGTAAACCAGGGGTGCCCACACTTTTTTGGCTGGCGAGCTACTTTTGAAATGACCAGCTCACCGAGGTCTACCAACCAAAAATAAAATCCCAAATTGCAAGGGTTGCTGAATAACACGTTTTATTTATACATGGGATAATAGGGCTGCAACAAACGACTAATTTGATAATCGATTAATGAAACGATTAATCAACTATTCGGACTATTACTGTATGCCTTGCACAATTTCTCAAATGCTCTTATTTAGCTATCAACTTTTAGGTTTAGTTGTTTTAGGCATGTGGAAACTAACAATGAAGACAATAAAGATGAATACCTGATTCAAAAATATATATATTATTATATTAACTTAAACAAATTGTGAACAAAATTAACATTGCTTTTTATTTAAATTAAATAAATAATATTTCACATCAAAAGAAACAACAATGTTTTAACAAATCGTATTAAATAATCTGACAGAACTGTTAACAGAATAAAGAGTAACTCAGTTACCTCTAATCATTAACCCATGTTTGTATCATTGAGTTAACTCTGTGTGTTGCTGCTAGCATACATAATAACACCTGACGTGGAAACGTTACTCGTGGACGGGGCTACAGAGCTACTAGAAAGACAGTCGAGCCCGGTGCATTCCTCCGTCTGAATGTGGAGCACTTTTGCTAAATGTTTAGACAAATTGCTCGTGTTACCGCCCTCACATGCTAAACACTCTTGGCAACGAGCATTGTCCACCTCAAGACGGGTAACATTTAACCACACCTTGGAGCGCTTCTCTCCGCCATCCCCGCCATGTGTTGCTGCATGTAGCAGTAGTAGCATGTAGTGTGTAAACTGCCCCGCCCCCTCGCACACAGACGGGAGAGAGATCTCGTCTCGATTGGAAAGATCAAAAATACACCGACCATAGACGCATTTGTTTGTCTTTTTGCATGTTAGAAACGAGTTGGCGGCACAAAGACTGCGAGATAATGTTTTTGTAGCAATAATACATGACCTTTCTCTTTCTCAACTCGCTACTCGGAGGGAAGTCGCTGTCATATGCCTTGTGAACACGGGTTAACAGACTGGAAAGCGATAGGTCGCTTTTTATGTCAATCAAGTAAACTCCTGAATTAAGTGGCAGGGAGGCCAAGGGAGGAGGGATCAAAACCTGTTTTGTCTATTTTAACGGAGCTGAATTTTTTTTTTTATGAATGACTCGTGATCTACCAGAATTGCCCTCGACGTACTGGGCACCTAAACGGTCTGCAGAGTCACAAACCCTCAAAGTACACCCTGTACTGAGTAAAACTCTAACACAGAAAATACCTGTCTATGCTGCCCCAGAACGCCTCGTTGGAGATTTCTCTTTTTCCATTGTTTACTTCTTGGGTATAGTGACATATTTGGGTATAGTGACGTAACGTAACGACTTCCTCACACACACACACACACTCGGCGGGACGTAGCGAGGCTCGCTGCTGCGAGGAGCGGGACAGTGTGAGCTGGCTCACTGGTGTGGGGTCGTCGAGACACCGCGGAACTCAGCCTGAGCACACACACAAACTCCCAGCCAGACTGCGGGTGTGTGTGTGTTTCAGGCTGTGTCTCGCTGTCTCGCAAACGGCCACTGGGCTGGGGGGGGGGGCAGGAGCTCCAACAAGCCATTTAGGACAGAGAGTGAATACAGATACTATACAGAGCAGAGGTCACGCTAACCGAATATTTTCCGTCTATGACGAATTTTTTTAACAATGACGGACAAATCTGAAAGCAGTCCGTCATTTTGACATATTAGAACAAACTCGGAACAGCGCCAAAGTTTCCCCGCAGCGAGGCTCCGGTGTTATGCCGTGTTATGCATGCCCTCCAAAAAGGAAATTATACCGTTTCCAAACCTAACTGTGCCGTACAAATCATTGAAATGTCTGTGAGTTTTGGCTTTACGCTGTGCACGCTCCCGCGAGATGCAGCAGCCATGCATAACACGGCGCATGTGAACTGCCCCCCCCCCCCCCGTGATGCTTTCCCCCCCCCCCCCCCCCCCCCCGTCAGAGTTGTGTAAAGGCCGACGGGTCATTCTGGATTTTGACGGAAGTTTTACGATCCTGTCCGTCAAAATGACGGGCAGCGAAAAAGTCTAGCGCAACCTCTGATACAGAGATGCTGTATGAGAAACCAATGTGAGTTTGGAAAATTGCACAGTATAAATCTATTTTAGTAGACCTCAACAATGGAGTTATGATCAGGAGAAATGGCCATGACATGGGACCTTTAAATGATTTGCTTTTAAAGATGAAATAACTAAATATTCCTTTCTTCTGTGTTCTTTTTCAGGGTCGTCTGCAGTCTCAGGACAGCGGCAAACATTTGCATGATGTTTTAGATCTCCTGCAGAAACACACTCTGGTAGAAGCGGACATATCCGCTCAGGCAGAGAGGATCAAGGTGGTCCAGGGATCTGCACAGCGCTTCACTTTCTATGAACAGGGTGAGTCCTTTAACAGGTTTTTAACATATTCCCTGTGCAGAACGTGCAGCTTAAGTCTTACCTATTTGGGCGCAATTTCATTACTCTCCTTTTTCAAATGCCAGCCTACAAACCGTGTGAGCCGGGGCTAGTTAGTGAGAAGGTCGACCAGCTGGGTCAAGCCTATGAAGAACTCGGTCAGCTTGCTGCAAACCGCAAAGTTTGCCTGGAGGAGTCGCGCCGTCTGTGGCAGTTTCTGTGGGATATTGGAGAGGAGGCAGCCTGGATCAGAGAGCAGGAGCAGATCCTGGCGAGTGGGGAGTGTGGCCGTGACCTCACCTCTGCCCTTCACCTGCTCAGCAAACATGAAGCCTTCACGGATGAGATGGCAGCCCGTTATGGTCCCCTGAGTAACAGCATCGCTGCCGGAGAAGCTTTGGTTGAGGAGGGACACTTTGGAGCCCCAGAGGTCACCGAGAGGATTCAAGACATCCATGCACAGTGGGCACATCTGGAGGAGGTGCGTGGATAACACAGTCTCTATACATAATAAAGCTATTCCAAATATTCTTTTTTTGTATTTGTAATCTTTTCACTTTATCTACTCCCTAGACAACCAAGCTTAGAGAGCAGAGCCTCAAGGAAGCTGTGGCCCTGCAGCAGTTTCAAACAGATGCTAATGACATGGAGGTATGGATCATGGAGACACTTAGACAGGTGTCCAGTCAGGAGGTGGGCCACGATGAGTTCTCCACCACAACCATTGCCCGCAAGCAGAGGGAGATCGAGGAGGAGATCCAGAGTCACCGCCCCGGCATCGACTCCATGCATGAGCAGGTCCAAGCAATGCCAGAGGCCTATCTAACAATCCCTCAGGTATGTGTGCTTTGTTTTTCATACTTCTTCAGTGATGACATGCTGCTTGTAGTACTAAATTATTGTTTGTGGCTGATTGTAGGTGGAGGGTCGCCTTCCTGCTATTGAGCAGAGCTTTGAAGAACTGGAGACTCTGTCAGTAGCTCGCCGCCAGGCTCTGGAAGGCGCCCTGGCCCTCTACCGCATGTTCAGTGAAGCTGGTGCCTGCCAGCTGTGGGTGGAGGAGAAGGAGCAGTGGTTACACAGCATGGAGATCCCCACCAAACTAGAGGACTTAGAGGTGGTGCAGCAGAGGTCAGTCATGGGGTAAAGGAGGGGAAGAATGCTAATAGAGTGCCACAGTGACGCATCCTAAAACCCGGAAGTAAGTTAGCATTTGGCCACTTCCGATGGTCAAATCGGCAATTCGACAAAAAAGCAATGCAATTTCTCCATAGGATTTTGGAAAATAGCTGGAAATCAGGTCTGTGGTTGAGACACATTTAAGAGACGGATCACGTTTTGTTCTACGACATTAAATACATCAGCAGTGACCCCACTGGTGATTTCTGAAGAGTTTACGTGTCTGAAAAACGATGGTTTTTAACAAGTGGCTGAATAGGACTACAGAAGTTGTCGAGGCCGTTGTACGTCATTACACCGAACACGTGAACACTCCCGCTAAGTTTGTTTTCCCCCGTGTTCTGCTTGAAAGCAAGTACCTGCCTCCTGCAAACTGTTAAAACAAACGCTTCAACTTGTACAATTTAGAATCTGTATTTTTTAATATGGATCTTAAGTTGGCGTGACGTTGAAGCAGCTACCCTGCCGTAGTTCGTTTATAGCATAACGTTAGCATTTTGCTTCTGGCGATTACATTTCTGATTCGAAAATTATAAAAGTAGGATAGACATGTGGAGATTATCCGGCTGAACAAAACGTGATCCGTCTCTTAAATGTGTGTCAACCACAACCTTATTTCCAGCTATTTTCCAAAATCCTATGGAGAAATTGCATTGCCTTTTTGTTGAAGGAACCGGAAGAAATTTACTTCCGGTTTTTAGGATGCGTCACTCTATAAAGAAAATATTACATTTATAAGAAACAGGCTGAGTTCTTATCCCTAGGAAATGTGTGAAATAATAACACAGAACACATAATAATAATTTCCTTTGTGAAATCAAACACATAAGTTAGTGTTATGACATTGCAAAGAAAATGTTAATTGAAAAAATGCTATAACCATTTAAACACACATTTGGTAGCTCTAATTTATTCCTAAAAGTATACAAAATGTCCCTGTTCCCTCTCACAAGAAGTTTTCATATCTACTGAAATGTAACTTCTAAATTAGATTATGTTTTCAGAATGATTGAATTGATGCTTGGTTTATATTTATGGCTGCAGATTTGAGACACTGGAACCTGAGATGAACAACCTAGGCACTCGTGTCACTGATGTGAACCAGGTGGCCGAGCAGCTGCTGAGCTCCGAAAACTGCAAAAAAGACCAAATCAACCAGACACGAGACCAACTGCACGACAGGTCAGAACCAACATATTAGACCTCATTAATCCACTCCTTTCACTTAAATATAATTGTACTGAACAAGCTCTAGTTAGCATTTGAATCCTAAATCCTACATCTGGTGTCGTCCGTAGATGGAACGAGTTTGAAAAATTGGCTGGCCAGAAGAAAGTTGCCCTGGATTCGGCTCTCAACATCCAGAACTACCACTTGGAGTGTAACGAGATCCAGACATGGATGAAGGAAAAGACCAAAGTGATTGAATCCACCCAGAGCCTGGGCAACGACCTGGCTGGAGTGATGGCACTGCAACGCAAACTCACCGGCATGGAGAGGGACCTGGAGGCCATTCAGGTATGGAGAGGTTGCATGCTGTGACTTATTGGTGAGGGAACAGAACAGAAATGATCAGATAACAGACATTATTACAGCTTTATGACGAGGTATGTTGTCATCATAATAAAATACATTTCATTGGTATTATAGTGCTTTAAAAGGTGAATTTTGACAGATTAAATGTGTGAAAAAATGGAAGTGAGGATGAGATCTGGGCGTTAGGTGGGGGGAAATCATCTTCAAATCTATGTTTAATATTTCTTTCATATCCTATCTATCAATCTATCTATCTCTCTATCAATCTATCTCTCTATCAATCTATATATCAATCTATCTCTCTCTCAATCTATCTCTCTATCTATCTCTCTCTCAATCTATCTCTCTATCAATCTATCTATCTCTCTCAATCTATCTCTCTATCTATCTCTCTCTCAATCTATCTGCCTCTCTATCTATCTCTATCTATCAATCTTTCTATCTATCTATTTCAGGGCAAATTAGATGACATGAAAATTGAAGCTGAAAAGCTGGCCGAGGAACATCCAGATCAGGCCGGAGAGATCCAAGGGCACCTGGCAGGGATTCAAGAGGTGTGGGAGGAGCTGAACGCCACCATGAAGCGGCGCGAGGAGTCGCTGGGCGAAGCCAGCAAGCTGCAGGGCTTCCTCAGGGATCTGGATGACTTCCAGTCCTGGCTGTCCCGCACCCAGACAGCCGTGGCCTCAGAGGACATCCCCACCTCTGTGACGGAGGCTGAGAGTTTGCTAACCCAGCACGAGAATATCAAGAACGAGGTGGATAACTATAAGGAAGACTACGAGAAGATGAGGGATGTCGGTGAGGAGGTCACCCGAGGTCAGACGGATGCCCAGTACATGTTCCTGGCCCAGAGGCTCCAGGCTCTGGACACTGGATGGAATGAGCTGCGTCGTATGTGGGAGAACCGTCACAGCGTTTTGGCCCAAGCCTTTGACTTCCAGACGTTCTTGAGAGACGCAAAGCAGGCGGAGGCTTTTCTCAACAGCCAGGTGAGAAAATACATACAATGAAATGCTGTGCCACAAAACTTTATTGAAATAAATCATGTTTCAATTTTTTTTTTAACAACATTGTTCTCCTCTGTGTGTGTAGGAGTATGTGCTGTCCCACACAGAGATGCCTACCAGTCTTCAGGGAGCAGAGGAAGCCATTAAGAAGCATGAGGACTTCCTCACCACCACAGAGGCCAGTGAGGAGAAGATACATGGTGTGGGGGAGGCTGGACGGCGCCTCATTAATGACAGTAATGCAAACTCTGATAAGATCCAGGAAAAAGTGGATTCAATCCAGGAAAGGTTAGAGCAAAACCAAGTCTTTTTGTATTTCTTTTGGATAGAGTACCACAGTGACGCATCCTAAAACCTGGAAGTAAGTTAGCGTTTTTACCACTTCCTTTGACAAAAAGCAACGCAATTTCTCCATAGGACTTTGGAAAATAGCTGGAAATAAGGTCTGTGGTTGAGACACATTTAAGAGACGGATCACGTTTTGTTCTATGACATTAAATACATCAGCAGTGACCCCACTGGTGATTTCTGAAGAGTTTACGTGTCTGAAAAACGATGGTTGTTAACAAGTGGCTGAATAGGACTACAGAAGTTGTCGAGGCCGTTGTACGTCATTACACCGAACACGTAAACACTCCCGCTAAGTTTGTTTTTCCCCGTGTTCTGCTTGAAAGCAAGTACCTGCCTCCTGCAAACTGTTAAAACAAACGCTTCAACTTGTACCATTTAGAATTAAATTAAATTAATGCATTGGTTTATAGCATAACATTAGCATTTTGCGACTAGATTTATGATTAGAAAATTATAAAAGTAGGGTAGACAATGTGGATATTATCCGGTTGAACAAAACGTGATCCGTCTCTTAAATGTGTGTCGACCACAGACCTTATTTCCACCTATTTTCCAAAATCCAATGGAGAAACTGCATTGGTTTTTGTCGAGGGAACCGGAAGGAGTTTACTTCCGGGTTTTAGGACTGCGGCACTCTATTTCATGTTTGAAGAGTAGTTTGTTAAGCTTTCCCCTTATTTCCTCCAGGCATCTTAAGAATAAGGAGAATGCTAATGAATTGCTGACAAAGCTTAAAGATAACCGTGAACTGCAGCACTTCCTTCAGGATGGACAGGAGGTAAACAAAAAAACACTGTTATGAATAAATATGGGATGTGATATGTGATGTGATGATTGTGAAAATTAGCTAGTATTGCCGAAAACTAACTATAGAGTTTGTTTCTATTGTTTGTTTTTATTTCAATTGTTATGCTATTCTCTTGTTTGTAGCTCACATTGTGGATCAATGAGAAGATGCTGACGGCACAGGATATGTCTTATGATGAGGCCAGAAATCTTCACAGCAAGTGGCAGAAACATCAGGCCTTCATGGCTGAGCTGGCCTCAAACAAAGACTGGCTGGACAAAATTGATAAGGTGTGGTCATTTTTATATTCATTATCAAGTGCAATGTCATTTAACACTAGAACCGCCAGAGGTCGCTGTATACCTAAAACCGCCAACGGGTCAAATTTACCCGCTATTGATTTTCAAGGTACAATGTTCTTTTATTTATCATGTAGAACAGTGAGTTTTGATCGCACAGGGATGAAACTTATACCAATAGAATCTGTGGACTCTTCATGTGATATAGTTTGTGTAGATAGCATGAAGTATAAAATATTGCTACCAGTGCTGATTTAAACGCTTGGTGTTAGACTTGTGTTTTGTTTAGGTACAAATCTCTCTATCTCTCTCTATCCATCTTATAACTATCTATTGATCTATCTATCTATCTATCTATCTATCTACTGTACATAACACACTTTCAGGAAAAGTCACGGACTGGGAGACTTTAATATTTTATTGAAAAAAAGTGACATACAATCAAAAAACAGCTGCGGGTCAAATTGACCCGTTGGTGGTTCTAGTGTTAAAAAGCACTTGGAAATCTATTCATCTGCACGTTGATCAGTAGGCTGATCCTCAAGGCTAGATAGCATATCAATAATATATTATATTTCAAAGCAAAACTGACGCTAATTCAAGCTTGTTCTTGTTTTGTGCCTCCAACAGGAAGGTCAGGCGCTGGTGGCAGAGAAGCCGGAGCTGAAGCCTGTTGTTCAGCAGACCCTGGAGGACCTCCAGCGGCAGTGGGAGGAGCTTGAGGGCACCACCCGCACCAAGGCCCAGTGCCTGTTCGATGCTAACCGGGCAGAGCTGTTCACACAGAGCTGCTCTTCTCTGGACGTCTGGCTGAAAAACCTTGAGGGTCAGCTGCATAGCGACGACTACGGCAAAGATTTGACTAGTGTCAACATCCTGCTCCAGAAGCACCAGGTAGACTGAACTGATAGCAAAGCTCAATGTATGCCATCTATAACAATGTGCAATGAAACCTGGCCAAACCCTTAAAATGGAGTTTGCCAAATGTCATATCTTCTTGTCTAACATTGTTTTACTTTCCCCGTGTAGATGCTGGAGAACCAGATGGAGGTCAGAGAGAAGGAGGTTCAGTCCATCCAGTCTCAGGCTCTGGCTCTGTCCCAGGAGGACGCTGGCCTCACTGAGGTAGACGGACAGCAAAAGCATGTCACTGACAACTTCTCCAACCTTCAGGACCCTCTCAAACTGAGGAGACAGCGGCTGCTCGCCTCCAAAGAAGCACATCAGTTCAACAGAGATCTGGAAGATGAAATTGTGAGTCTGATTACCTGACTGAATGCATCAATTAAATATAGAAGTTTGGAGAAAATAAGTGTTTGTATTGCATCCTGTTTGGGCCGATTGCTATATTAATTTGTCTGTTTTTCTCTCAGCTATGGGTGAAAGAGAGGATGCCCCTGGCAGACTCCACAGACCATGGAAAAGACCTGCCCACTGTGCAGCTGCTCATAAAGAAGAACCAGGTACACTGATACTTGCTTTTTTTTGCATTACTTTGTCCAAAAAAAAGTAAAGGCTTAACCCTTAGATGCACGAGTGACTGGACTCTACACTGTTCCATAAGTGGGTCAAAAAGGACCCCTATTAGAATAATATGTGTTTTTATGTCATTTTGGTTAAGAAAAGTCACTTGTATAATATTTAGTATTATATTTTGGTTCACACTAGAAATATTTTATATTTAATTTTTCACTATTTATAATTTTATAATTTATTTTTTACATTTTGAAAAAAAACGTTTTGAACATATTGATGCAAAGCTCTCCGCTATTCTGAGACCCTCACAGTATTCCAGTCCCTTTTCAAAACTCATCTCTTCTCTTGTCTACTCATAGCCCACCCCCCATCAATCCATGCCGGTTGATCAAGTTTGATAGTCCTATACCCCCCACCCTAACCTTCCCTTATATTGTAAAGCGATTTTTAGTCCTTGAAAAGAAAATAGAAAATGCATGCGGGTCACTTTTGACCCACTTATGTAAGCTTGGGGTAGAAATACAAAAACTTAAATAAAAAATACTTCAAGAAAACCACCTCACCGGGTCAAAAAAGACCCACTTATCTAAGGGTTAAGAAAAATGACCCTTCTTCTCTGTTTCTGAATCAGACACTGCAGAAGGAGATCCAGGGTCACCAGCCGCGTATTGATGAAATCCAGAGACGAGGCCAGACTCAGAGCCAGGTGGACGGTGAGAGGCAGTCGGCCCTTGAGGGGCGCCTGGTTGAACTGGGGGAACTCTGGGATCAGCTGAAAGCCGAGACAGACAAGCGCCATGATCGTCTAATAGAGGCCAACCGCGCCCAGCAGTTCTATGCTGATGCGGCGGAGGCAGAGGCCTGGATGGGAGAACAGGAGCTGCACATGATGTCAGAGGAAAAAGCCAAGGTAAGATGGGGGAAATAAAAGTGAACGCTCTTTCACAACCTTATGTCTGGAGAAAATGTGATAATTTCCTATTGGTTTCCCAGGATGAGCAAATAGCGCTAGTGATGGTCAAGAAGCACCAGACCCTGGAACAGGCCCTTGAGGACTACGCCCAAACCATCCACCAGCTGGCCAACAGCAGCCGCCTTATGGTCACCAGTGAACACCCAGAGAGGTGAGAGAGCGCAAATAGATATGAATGTTGGAATGACAGCGTGTCACAAAGATGTACAAACACTGATCTGTCTTGCTGTCTTTCTTCATTTACGCAGTGAGAGGATCACCCTACGGCAAGCACAAGTGGACAAACTGTATGCAGGGTTGAAAGACCTCGCTGAGGAGCGTCGCGGGCGTCTTCAGGAGAGGCTGCGGCTGACCCAGCTGAAGCGGGAGGTGGATGACCTGGAGCAGTGGATTGCTGAGAGGGAGGTGGTAGCTGGCTCCCACGAACTAGGACAGGACTATGAACATGTCACTGTGAGTGTTTTATCTCCATCTCATACTTTAGAGACACTGATGCTCAGGGACATTTAGCGGAATTAATTGCGCCCTGATTTTTCTCCTGGCAGATGCTGAGGGACAAGTTCCGGGAGTTTGCTCGTGACACCAGCACCATCGGCCAGGAGCGAGTAGATGGAGTCAACGAGCTGGCAGACGACCTGATTGAGTCGGGTCACCCTGAGAACGCCAGCGTGGCCGAGTGGAAGGACGGGTTGAATGAGGCCTGGGCCGACCTGCTGGAGCTGATCGACACACGCACACAGATGTTAGCAGCCTCCTACGAGCTGCACCGCTTCCACCAGGACGCCATGGAGGTGCTCAGACGCGTGAAGGAGAAGAAGGAGGGTCTGCCTTCAGACCTCGGCCGGGATCTGAACACCGTTCAGCATCTACACAGGCAGCACAACACATTTGAAAATGACATCCAGGCCCTCAGCGGACAGGTCAGAAGCCTGTTTATAAAGAGATCTCATGTGAGACTCCAAGAGAGACACGTTAATCGAAAGCTCAATGTCCTCTGTTCCTCTTTGACCTTGTAGGTGAACCAGGTGCAAGATGACGCTGCACGCCTACAGAAGGCTTACGCTGGAGAGAAAGCTGATGACATTAACAGGAGTGAGAGTGCTGTGTCTATTGCCTGGGAGGCTCTGCTGAAGGCCGGTCAGGCCCGCAGGCTCCTCCTGCTGGACACTGTGGAGAAGTTCCGCTTCTTCAACATGGTGCGAGACCTCATGCTCTGGATGGACGGCGTCAACCTGCAGATAGACGCTCATGACAGCCCCAGGTGAATGTTATTTCATGCTTCATTCACAGATACTGTGATGAATGCTGTAAGAGATGCTCCTAGCTCCATTTTCTTGGCTGATTATTTTATGACAAATAAACATTTAACTGTATTTTAATAATAAAACATTGACTATTAAAAAAACCTGGACAAAATCCAACTGAAAATGAATTGCAATATATTGCACTTCATCTGGCATGTTTTACTATCATCGAAGAAACATGTGCAACCGGTCTAACAACACAGTAGTTCCAAATGTTTTGTAATGCTTTGTACGGTTGACGTAGGGGTTAATGACGCTCGCACACAAAGTGGAGAGAAACATTGTTCATATCATCATACCACCAACATTGCAACCATACAAAGCAGGTTGAAAATAATCAAAGTTTTCCTTTAAGTTGTTCCTTTATTGCTCACTTCATGATGGGGTTGATCAATCAGTGCATCTAAATGCTGTATTATGACAAATATGTTTAGATGTCATCTCCTTCTCCTTTCTTTTGTCGTAGGGACGTGTCCTCTGCAGGGCTGGTCATTGCCAATCATCAGGATATCAAGTCAGAGATTGAGACCAGGGCTGACAGCTTCACCGCCTGCGTTGATTTGGGAAAATCTCTCATCAACAACAATCACTATGCATCTGATGAGGTACTGTGCAGCGGGACATTCTCAATTTAATCTGCAGTCATTTGAATGCATATTCAGAATAAACCACTCTTAGGGAAATGGGAACACACTTAGTGTTTCATTTTGGGGTGATTACTTAATGTTTTCATGATTCCTTTCCTTACTGTAATTTCTTTGATTTATAGATCCGGGAGAAACTGGCTCAACTGCAAGAAAAGAGAGAAAGGATCAACAGAAACTGGCAAGACAAGATGGTTCATTTACAAATTGGTATGCATCCTTAACATGTTTTATAGTCTGTAAAAGGGCACATTCAATGTAATAGTGCCATTGCAAAAAAAAACATGAGGGACACTTGAGATTGCTACAAGGTAAAGGTAGCAGATAAAATACAAACATGTGTCTTTTTATGTTATGTTACGAATATTACCAAGATAGATTGTTGCTGCAGATGTGAAATTTCATCCGTCAAGACTTCGAGTTACACACTACGTGGTATTCTACAAGTCATGTGTGCAAGCTCCTTTTTTATTGGTACTACCGGTAATTGCACTATTGCCAAAGTAGAGCCAGGACTCTTTCTGTGTAGTTTATCCCTGAAATTATGACTTGCAGATCAATGCAAATAAGATGGATTATTGTCCCTTTTTCCTAGCAGCGTATTTTACTATCGAGTGGTGAAGTCCCTCCCTTTCCGGGGGACCTCCATGGGACCTTATTTCGGAAAAATTATGTATTGATGTCAATGGCAAGAGAAACGTTATCTTTCGATTCCGTTTGAATTGTGCCACGAATTACACATATGATGTTTGTCAATTTAAAAGATAATTTTGCAAGTTAAAAAAAAGAAATTGCCGTAAAACTGTGAAGTAAGACTTTTTTTGTGTGAAACCACTCAATTAACTACATCTCTGGTCTCCCACAACAACACACGTCACCAAGATTGCCGTCACTACTGTCTTGCCAAACAAGGGATTGACTACCCTCACTATCACCACAATGAAACACGTCCAGAAGAATGTCATGCAAAGCTGCCTGCCTGCCTGCCTTCGATTCTCCCTGAACTGCCTGATCTTTTTAATGTGCAGATAGTAGTGATGGCGAGATGAAGCCTTATGAAGCGTTGAAGCTTTCCAGCTAATTGGTTCGCACAAGGGTTCATCTCATGAGGCTTCATCATGGGCTTCATTTGAACACAAACCCCCCTGTTGGTCAAAGTGTGTAAAACAGGCAGATTGGACATCTCAACAGTGTGCTCCATCATCTCATACAGAGTTCCCATTGAGTAAAGCCTTAGAATAACTCTAAACAACAAACATAAAATCATATTTTCATGTTAACAATATTGTATTTATTCCAGTTTAATGATTGTGATTGAAAAGCCTAAGGAGGCTGGTAAATATTGCAAAGAAGGATTTGTATTCCTTAATAATATTCGTAAACTTAACCATGTTGTAGCCTGAGAAAGGCTAAACCATATCAAAGACTACATTTATTAACTACATTATCTCCTTTAGCTGTAGCTTTTATAAACAAAAAGACGTACTGAACAGGCGTTGAACCAGGGACCCTGCGGTCGAGAGACATCTGCTTTCCAGCTGAGCCACAGCGCACACACACTGAATTCATCTGAAAACACTTTATACAATTTATTCCTGTATTTATTCATGTTTTTATTCCTACATTTATTTATGCTTTTATTTATTTATACTTATGACATGTTCCGACCTCTACTGTATATGAGTGAGGGTCTGAGCTCTCTTAATTCTATCGTGTCACCGGGCCCGGGTACAGGAGGGGTAATATCGTTCTCATTATACATCCATGGGTAATATGAGCGTTGTGGTTCAACCGATCTGAATCTCTTCGTGAAGCAGTCACGTGGTTTCGACAGGCAGCGAGGCTTCGTTTGTCATCAATGACGTCACTGGCCCAAAACGATACAAGCCTCGATACAAGCTTCACAAAAAGCTTCGGGGATTACTCGACACACGCTCCGAAGCCTCGGCGCAATACGTAACATCACTAGCAGATAGCATGAAGTAGAAAAGATCGCCGATGCTAATGTAACGTTAGCATGTCTCCCCCGGGGGCATCCGGGCTTAAACGGTGTATTATAGAATGATCACACTGGTTATGACATCCTTTACGTGACTCTGGGATTTGTAGTCTTTCTAGTTGCGTATTGTTCATAGTCTTATATTTTTTAAGATTGACAAACATCATATGTGGTATTCATGGCACAATTAAAATGGGATCGAAAGATAGGTTTTCTCTCCCCATTGACTTTAATACATAATTTTTCCGAAATAAGGTCCCATGGGTCGGAAGTGGAAGGGCGGTACTTCGCTTCTCTATACCTCTAATATTAGAAAATGGTGTAACACTACTTTATCGTTTGAAAAGGTTTTTCATTATCACATTTTGTGCCTGGCACCAATGCAGGGATCTTCCTGAAGTACATGAAGCATGTGTGTTGTCCCTTAAAGCTATTGTTGGTCTGAAAGGTCCCTATTGTGTACGCAACTCACTACTAATAGATGCTGGTAAACTGTATTTCTTAGCGTCTCATTATTTGTTTTTGTTTTCACTCTGTCTTTCGCTCCCCTTATCCCATCTCAGTGCTGGAGGTGTTGCAGTTTGGTCGCGATGCCTATGTGGCAGAGTCATGGCTGGCAGGGCAAGAACCTCTGGTGCGAGCAGCAGAGCTGGGCTCTAACGTGGACGAGGTCGAGAGCCTCATAAAGCGCCATGAGGCCTTCGAGAAACTCGCTACAGCCTGGGAAGACCGCTTTGTGCTGCTGGAGAAACTCACCACGGTAAAAACTGTCTATTAATCTAGGCATTGATCTTACCTCACTCCTTAAATGTTAAGTTTAGATCAAATCCTGACTTCCAGGCTTATAATTAGGTATATTAGTAAACAGTAATATGAATAACGATAACAAAAACACAAGTAATATAATATTGCCTGGTTTAAAAAATGAATAAAACTGACTGTAAATACATTTTGTTTTCCAGCTCGAGGAGCATGAGATTCAGAGGAGGCGAGAGGAAGAGGAGCGAGCGCGGCGACCCCCTACACCCCCCCCTGCAGAAGTGGCACAATCTGAGGCAGAAAGTCAAGCACATGATTCTGCAGCCAGGTAACCAGAGGACAGCTCCGGTAGAGCAGAACAGGGTTTATTTGTACTTCTTTTAACAGAAATGTCATTATTAACATGCTCTCCCTCCTCTCAAACGCAGAACCAGTCTGGACCAGACCACACTCAATCAGACGGTGTCGGTGAATGGAGTGCACAGCGACAACGACACCTCGCAGGTTAGTGTTGGTGTCCAGATACTGTTCTGTGGTGTTACCTAATGGCGTACATTTTCTTTACCAGGTTTCTAATCTAACTGTTAGTGGTCGCCATGTAATTACATTCCTTCATATTCTACATTATTACACGTGTATAAGGATCATATTCACTCCTTCACTCAATCTGTGTTAGGAACATTGTGTGAAATGCTATGAGATAGATGAGAGTAACACCTACGTCATTTCTGGGCAAAAATGATGGCCCCGCCCACTTTTGGGGGAAAACAAAGCTGTCATTTGAATGACGGTCAATACAAATTCTGAAGTTTTTGCCAATCCGATCAGAAATGTAAGAAAACCGTGGATTTTTGGATCTTCAAAGAGCCCGATTACAATGGCCAGTCAGGCAAACAATTACATTAAATCATTGGAAATCGACGAGCGAGCTCGATTTATGGTTAAATATCGCAGTTGGCGATCGATGTCCATAGATGAGAGTAACATCTAGGTCACTCTACGGCCCCGCCCACCTTTGGGGGAAACCAACGCTGTCATTTGAATGGTGATCGAGCCTGAAGCCACAGAGCTCTTCTTTTACTGTCCTTTCTTCTTAGAGGAAGTACAGAAACACTGAACTCTGGATTTGTTCTAATGTTTGAGGTGCAATAAACGACACAGCAGCTTTTTGGCATGATAAAACTATTATTTTTCGCCTCGCTCATGAGAGCAACAGCTGGCGAAATGACAGCCTCGCCTACTGATTTTAATTTAACCATATATCAAGACCGATCGTCGATTTCAAATTATTGAATGTAATTGTTTGCCTGACTGGCCATCGTAATCGGGCTCTTTGAAGATCCAAAAATCCACGGTTTTCTTACATTTCTGATCGGATTGGCCAAAACTTCAGAATTTGTATTGACCGCCATTCAAATGACAGCGTTGTTTTCCCCCAAAAGTGGGCGGGCTGTAATTTTCGCCCGGAAGTGACGTAGGTGTTACTCTCGTCTATGTCTACATTGATTCACATTACATTAATGACAAAAACACTGCAACATTTTGAGTCCTGTGAGTATCTCATAAATATAAATACATAGTGTAACTGTATGTCTTTGTCTGTTCTACTCTAATCAACCACATGTTGTTTCCATACTGTTTCCCTGCTCATGTAATGATTTTAATTGCTTTTATCCAATTAAAAGGAACAACTTTTATTCCAGTAGCCTTTGAATGCAGTTGAATACATGTACATTGAAGCACAATACCTAGAAAGAATATATATAAACCAATATTTTATTTTTGTGACAAGCAGCTACATTTTGCTAATAGGTATTTGTTGATGTTTCTAGTGTAAAAGCATTTTTTTGAAAATAATCAGTGCCACTCAGATGAAGGAACTCACACCACTTCAGGAGTCCTGATTCAATGTACAGGACACCTTTGAGGAGGGGGTTAGCTGGGTAGGATAACGAAGACACCTGGGCATGTTACACAAACCTATTAAAGTCTACACTGGCAGATGAAAATAAACACCTTGTGGAAAGTAAAGTCACAAGATTAATAAAGGAGCAATATCTGTATTATGACTTTCATCTATTGTATGGTTAGTCCACACAGTTGTTGACGACCTATATTAGAAGCCAATCAACATGCTGATGTTACCCACCCATAACTAGACATCTTAACAATGTTCTCATTGCGTTTTTATCAGCAGTCATTATCGCAATCGTTGTCAGTGGGACAGAAAACTCAGCCTAAACGTGTGTGTAAGCCAAAGCAGCCGGAGCGTGTAAGTACCAAGCCGTGGTCAGCTGTGTAGCCCCCCCCCCCCCCCCCCCCCCGCTCAGCTCCTGGTCAACTGCAGTGCCTCTTCTGTTGAGAAGTCATCGCTCTCTGTCACAGATGCAGAAAACATTGCTTTTTTTATTCATGTTTATGTATTCATCAGTGAGTCTCATTGCAGTCTAACGGCATGACGCTGATCCATGAGCAGGTTGTTCTCATGGATCAGTCGGCTGCTGTTCATGTGCTCATTCTGACCAGGACAAGAGTGGCTTTAGATGTGAAGCCCGGAGTTGTAAACGTGGTGATAAATGTAGCTGATTTATATGTAGTTTGTTTAAGTCTCCCCCTATTTGTGTGCACTTCCTGTGGTGAGTGTGAAAGTCCTTTTGGTGAAGTAATGCGTAGAAAAAAAAGAAAAAAAATTAAAATGGCCTTTTAATGTCTGTGGCTTTTTGTGCAGGACTTTAGGCTTTAGAGAGTTGAACTGTGGTTGAAAGTGTTCATGTAATTTGTGTCCGAGTTTGTGTCTGAGTTTCATTTCCAGGTGCTTAATGGATCATTTAAATTTGACTTAAGAGAAACATTTTATTTTAAGAATAGTTAAATGTACATTTCAGTAATGTGAGTAATTTCCTTACATTTTTGGATATATTTTTCCTACCAACTATCCTTGTTAAGTGTAGCAGGCATGTGTGGTTATTTTAATTTGGCGTCTTATCCACATGTAAGTACTGTAATTGTGCTGTTTAGCATCAGTGCAGTGTGTGATTATGTGGACCCGCTATGCTGTTATCTCAGCTAATCATACAGCGTCGTCACAGCGAGCGTCGTCATGGCTTCTTCATGTACGGCTGTGAATGGCTGTTTTGCTGCTCGCTGCTTCCATCCAGTCGTGTGTTGTTCCTCCTCCACCTCCTCATGTTCTGGTTTGACCCACAGGGCTCAGAGTCAGAGTCGAACGGACCCGGCAGAGACAGCGGGCTGGCGTCGTCTCGCCTCGAGCCCTCGGCCACGTTACCCAGCAGGGGGGGGGCCGAGTCCGATCCAGACACCATGGAGGGCATGCTCTGTCGAAAACACGAGATGGAGTCCCACAGCAAAAAGGCAGCTACCAGGTATTTGCATTAAAACAAACAAAATTCTAAATGATGTATTGCCTGTTTGTAAGATGCACCGTAGAACTCATGTCTGTACCTTATTGTAACTGGTTTTGTATAATTATTTGTATCTTTTAAAGTTGTGTATGCCTAGTTCCTACCTTTTTAACCCTTAGATTCCCTTAGAGTGACTGGACCCTACACTCTTCCATAAGTGGGTCAAAAAGGACCCCTATTAGAATAATATGTGTTTTTATGCCATTTTTGTCATTTTGGTTAAGAAAAATCACTTGTATAATATTTAGTATTATATTTTGGTTCGCACTAGAAATAATTTATATTTAATTTTTCACCATTTATAATTTTAGAAAAAAAAATTACATTTAGAAAAAAAAACGTTTTGAACATATTGATGCAAAGCTCTCCGCTATTCTGAGACCCTCACAGTATTCCAGTCCCTTTTCAAAACTCATCTCTTCTCCTCTTGTCTACTCATAGCCCACCCCCCATCAATCCATGCCGGTTGATCAAGTTTGATAGTCCTATACCCCCCACCCTCACCTTCCCTTATATTGTAAAGCGATTTTGAGTCCATGAAAATAATAATTATTATTATACTGACAGGTATCAGATCTTGCTGTCTAAAATAATCTTCCTGAGAGGTGTCACTTGTGATGTAGTCTGTGTGGTCCACAGTGAATGTATTCCTGACAGCCACAGGTGATAAGAATCAAAGGTTCCCATAGGATCCCATAGGAAATGCATGCGGGTCATTTTTGACCCACTTATGGAAGCTTGGGTAATACAAAAACTACAATTTCTTAAAATTTAAAATGTGAATGGCATGATATCCAAAACATGTTTTTTGAGGAATAGCTGGAATATGAAATGATAAAAAAATGTAATTTACAAAGATACTTCAAGAAAACCACCTCACCGGGTCAAAAAATACCCACTTATGCATCTAAGGGTTAAGGAAGTCAAAGGCATTTTTTACTGACTTTCCTAATCCCTGTTTCTTTGCTCCTACAGGTCCTGGCAGAACGTGTACTGTGTCTTAAGAAAAGGAAGCCTCGGTTTCTATAAAGACGGAAAGAGCGCTAGCAACGGCATCCCTTACCACGGAGAGGTTCCCATCAGCCTCGGGGACGCCGTGTGTGAGGTAGCCAACGGATATAAGAAGCGGAAATTTGTATTCAAACTCAGGTGAGAATAGACTTGGCAAAGAAAAACGTCCCAACAAGGGTCCCTGATACAGTAACACTGTTGCTTAAATAAGTCAAATGAAAGGTAATGAAATGCTGAGATGTATCTGACTAATACTTGACATCTTCAACGCTGTGTCAGCAGGCTCGGGGATGGAAAAGAGTTCCTGTTCCAAGCAAAGGATGAGGTGAGATAAATGGAGTTCTCTACTAAAAATGATTATTTTAGTACAATCGTGTTGTGGCTCTGTTTGATGATAGTGAAGTATAATATTGTAGCGACCCGGTATAGGGTGCTGTGTGGGTCACTCAAGCATCCCCCGTCTCTCTGCCAATCACAGAGCTGCACAGTAATGCTGGTCTGTGTGCGGTGGGCCTGTGGTTGGGGAGCAGAGGGGGGAGGGCTGGAAATCCAAATTGGGATCAATAAAGTACTGTCTTGTCTTATCTTATCTTATCTCTTATAATGATGATTTGTTTTTGTTTAAAGGCGGAGATGAGCGCCTGGATCAGCTCCATCATCAGCTCCATGCCCACGGGGTCAGGTGACTCGCCGGTGGGTCCGCGGGCCCTCAGCCGCGCCATGACGATGCCCCCCATCTCCCCCAGCTCAGGGGAAGGGGGAGGAGTCACCATGCGCAACAAAGACGGGAAAGACAAGGATCGTGAAAAGAGGTTCAGCTTCTTCGGCAAGAAAAAATAGAAACACTTTTAAAAATCGATGGAAACAACATTTACATCTAAATTTCAGCAAACAGAAGCAGGCAGAGAGTAAACTGCTCTCAGATCAGCCCCGGGGGATTCTCAACGTGGCTTTCAAAGAACTTTGTTCAATTTTCCTTCTCTCTCATTCTCTCCCTCGCCAATTTTTGTATCCGTCATTTCGTTTTTCGTTCACCAAAATCATATTTCACATTAAGCTGCACCCAACTATGAAAGCCCTCATCCAATTTCAGCCGACCCGCTGAGATTATAAATCTAAGTCAGTGTCGGGGGGTTTGGCATTAACAGGGATTCAGTTTCAATCCACCAAAACGGCCTTCCTTCAGCATGAATAGTTTCTCTTCAGTGAGTCTTCACTAGCGAGCCGTTTCCATGACGAGCCGCTAATAAAACAATGGATGGCGGCTTTCCACTCTGGTACACACCGGTTTTATTTCCTCGCTCTTAAGCGCTCAGTTTTTTTGGGAAGGATCACTTCAATCGCTTTTTCTGTTCTCTGTATTGATGTTATTAACCTGACTGATATTTTTGCTGTTATTATTATTATTATTTATCTTTTGCTATTGCTGGTTTGAGAAAACAAAGTAATTAAGTTTCCAGTAGATAATCTCGATTCATGTTGTGGAGAGAAACACTTTTGGTTAAACTAGTGGAGAATGTTGGGCTTGCCCTTGTATGTATTATTATTATTATTGATTTCCTTTAGGAATGACAGTTGATGAGGTGTTTTGAGAAAAAATAAAGCTCATTGAATTTTAGCAGTGTGCAGATCACAAGTTTCATTGGGAAAATGATATATATATATTTAATAAGTGGTTTTATTTTTTATTTTGTCTCTAATTTTGTCTGCATTTCATTTCCTTTGAGTGATCTTTTTCTGCTTGATTTTCACATTTCTTTATTTCTGTACAAAGCAGATAAGATTAGTTTTCTAGTGTGTGTGTGCGAGTGTGTGTGTGTGAGTTGTGGTGCCGTGGATTTTGCACGTTAATGTTATTCCTGCTCAAACGTGGCCAGATGAATGCTGCTTTTCGGCACCGCAGACAAACGTAATAATTACTGGAATTATTTCAAAAAATCGGCTTTTCCTTTGCTTCTGGTTTTTAATTATATGTAAGCTGACATTACCAATGAAGTTCCACCAGACGGTTTCATTATTTCTGTTTTTTTAAGTCTTCTAATATCTATTTCCGTTCTTAATTTACTGGTGTGAAGGCATGGGGGCAGTTTGTAGATAAAAAAAAAAAAAGCTGAAGCACATTTTCTGTGGCGGACGCAGCTGAGCAAGACAGATGGACAGGTCTCATTAAGTGAAGAGAGGGATGTGGAAGTGATTTTGGACTGGAAATATGCTTTATGTGCTACCTGACAGAGAGAGGAGCCTTACTTGAACCCACAACAAATTCACAGACCCCCTTTTTACAAACCCATCCTCCATTCGAACAGTCTTAAAGGAAGATAACGTAATACGGAGATAAGAATGTTGAAAATGTGCCCTGTGGCAATGACCTCGTGTATGTCAGTGGATTTCAATGAAGGTACAGCAAAACTCACAGCAAAGAGGGGAAGAAAATCCTAAATTGTCTCTTAGATGAGATTGCATATGTGGCATGACTTCATGTAGGTTTATACGTGTATGTGTCTCATCATTGCCATCTCTTCTGTGTTGATGTACTCTTAAAAACGTGAGATCACTTCATTTCCAAGGTTGGAGATAAACTAATTAAATGTAATTGGCATTTGCATTGATCCAGACCATGATAATGGCAATATAGTTAATGTAAAATGTGTTTAATAGTGTCCTCAAATAGGGTACATGTTTGAAATGACAAGAGCATTTACAGTATATTGTGAGACTGTAGGCGGTAGTAACATTTTATATTAATTGGTTGTTAAGTGTTATTATTGTAAGTCACTTCAATCCAAGTTCTAATTTGCCTTTTCTAACTGCCAAAAATGCAACAGGAAGTAACAGGATAACAATTCTGAATTCAGGAGTTTAATGGAATATTTGAGATAGGTTGCTAGTTATAACATATTTGTAACTTAGCACACCTTGAAAGCAACTCTTCAAAGCTGGTAATGGATGTACACGCCATGCCTTGGAGGCCACAGGAATGTCTCACCAAACTGTTGAGCTGAAAATAAACTGGATGCTGTTTGAACAGGTTGGCCTTATTTATCTACAGTCCCAATTGAATGTGGAACCAGTGATTTTATATTTTAAATCTAACACCCTCCAAGCCAGAAAATTACCTAAAGATGGACTTTGAGACTATTTGACAGCACTTGACTACCTTGTCTCTGTCAGTGGGATTTTGTATCTAGGGTGTGACGCAGCTCCCAGTGTAAGCAGCCTTAAACTTAAGCTGCTCTATTGGGGCTAAGTCATTGAGGTCGGTGCATACATAAGTGAGCCAACGCAGGAGTCAAGTGGATTAGCTGTTTCCAGTGTCTATAGCTACCTTGTTCTGGACATCAGATAAAGCATCCAGTTAAGGACTAAAGGTCACACAGTGCATTTTCTTATCAGCTCATTTGAATGTGAATGATTCTAATTAGTTTGGCCAAATTGGTCATGTGAAGCAGAAGTATTTCTCCTACTTGACATACTGGACACACACATTAAACCTGTACTGTATATTTAATGCAGAATGACCCTGGCGACCTAGTGTTTATAGGGAACGTCCTCAGCTGGCTGTGATTTCACATTGCATACGGCATCCGCTCAAAAAAGGAGCGTTGTGCTACTGGTGAGCTTTGACCAGAACATTGGGAGTGATGTGTCGTTGTCAAAGAGAGGGGTCTTTGGTTAAGAGAGTACTTGAAACAATGGGTTACTTGATGAAGAAAAACAACCACTTTTACTTGTTTGGTATTAGATATTGGTGAAATTATGCTGGTGACAATTTGAGCTTCCTTTTTTAGAAGGCGGCAGGGTATTTGCTGTCTAGTGGGAGCTTGTATTTTTGCATCCAGTGGTCTGTCTTGCAGCATTTGATAAGCCTGTCCTCCTACCTTCATTTCTCATTACTTTTGACGAATGTCTGTTCCTTCCTCTGTAATTCAGAGTTGTTAATACCACAACTATTATTAATTGCTATTATTATCACTATTGCTACTGTTGTTACTATTACTACTACTGTTACTAATGCAACTTATTATTGCAAAAGTTATAACTGCTGTCCATTTTCAGGTACGTGTCTGTGATACCAGACCCTTCCACACGATGTCAGTGTGCTGTGGAGCATTTTCATTATGAATCGAAAAATAATGTTTGTTGACTTGTGTATCTACATCTAATATTAGGAATAATAAAACATGGTTTAATGAAAATCATGATATTGTTTGTGGGTTTTTTGATGATAAAAAACATTCCAGCTTGTATTCTATTATGAGCATAAGAGAGTGGGACATTTGGATTATGGTCAGTCGACAAACTCATTAAATGCCGATTTTCCGTCCATAGCATAGTCTAATATATACAGAGCTGGATAACTGTCATCATCCTGTTTCACACAAAGAAGATTATCACAGTATTCATGTTTTTCATTTAGTCTGTTCTCGGAAAATAGTTTAATATGGTTCCAAGTAATTTAACTAAGGAACTTTATACAGTCAACGATCCAACAGCACCTTGCAGAATTAAATATGCTACCAAGTAATACCATGAAGCAGCAAAAGGGAAGCCAACCGGCCACATCTGTGAGGTGAGGTGATCTACAGTATGTATAAGGTATTATTTAAAGAGAGATATTGCAATTTGAATAGGGCTTTCATAAGGAAAGTGAGCTAAATCTGGGCCAAAAGTTTTGATTATTCGAAGAAAAAAAATGCATTTGAAAGCTCATGTTTTGATCCTGAACTTTGAAAAATACAATGTCATTTTCAAACTAAAAACACGTATTTGCAAAGTTTTTCAGGTTGAATATCATTTTGATTCAGTTATAGCAATATTTTTGTATTCTAAGGTGGTGTTAATTTGGAGCTTGTGATAGCATTGGTCCACCAGGACAACCTGCTGGCACCATGGCTGGCTTCGATATATAGCCTGGGGGAAAAAAGATGTGAATCTGAAGGCATGAAAACAAAGAATGAATCAAATATCAAAATGAAATGTGAAAATAAAAAATGATAGTTAAAAAACGTAAACATTAAAGACAATTATGTATGAATGTGGACACATTTCTGATGCATCTGCAGCATGAGGTCCAGGACGATGGAGTAATGACTGGTAAGTTAATGATTAATCAGTGGATGCTGGGAAGAAGGACGTCATAAAGAGCTGAGCAAACATTCAGTGAGAGTATTGAGAGGAGGTCAAATCAGACAGCATAATCCAGTGGTGGAGCGCAATTAAGTACATCATGTAGATACTTAAGTACAATTCTGATGTAGGCCTAATTGTACCTTATTTATGTTTTCCTACTTAATACTTCTACTCCACTACAATTCAGATGCAACTATTGTACTTTTTACTCCAAAGGGGTGTAAAGTGGTCCACCCCCACAATCATTTTGATCTCAACACAAATCAGATGTCCACCTACTGCATTAAAAAATAAATGTAAAAAGATGTAAAGAAGCCTAAATATAACCATAAAGAACATTAACATTCACTGTACGTTTTAGATGTTACAGTAATCTGATTACTTTTTTAAAAATGTATTTTGAATCGAATACAGTTACCTTTTTTTTATTTATCCAGACGTAATCTCGTTAAACCTTTACTCCCCAATCCTGAATATAACTGTCATATTTTTAAAAGGCCGCACTGATCTCTTCTACATGTGGTTCTTTAAACTACCAGTAGGTGGCACTGTGTGTTCCTGCTCCTACAAGTCCTGACGGAGGGCACACATTCCCCGCGGTCACTTCCCCGTGTATTAAAGCAAGATGGCAGCTGTTGTTGAGAATGTTGTCAAACTGTAAGTGTCGGACTTATTTACACACCTTTACACCTGGTTATTTGTCGTTATGACATGAAAGTATGTTCATATAGTTACTGTGTCGCTAGCTTAGCAACATTTACCACTGATTTAGTAAGGTTAGCCAACGTCAGAGCGTCGTGTGTGTTCATATCCTGTTAGTTAGCATACATGACGTTTCTGAAACACACGAGTCTGTCTAGTTAAAACTCATTTGATTTGACAGTTAGAGATATCAGAGTTAACTGTTGTGTGTTTCTCTGTCGTCAGTTGAGTCCAGCTAACGGTAGGTCTCGCGCTAACTGCGTTTATAGGAGTAAATACTTCAACATTAATTAAAGACTGGCCTTAAACAGTGGTGGGAGAAGTACTCAGGTCTTGTACTTAAGTAGAAGTACTCAGGTATTGTACTTAAGTAGAAGTACTCAGGTATTTTACTTAAGTAGAAGTACAAGAGTGTATAAATATTATGTTACAAGTAATAGTACCGTATTCAAAATGTTTCTCAAGTACAAGTAGAAAAGTGTTAGCATCAAAACCAAAAATCTAAATACTCATTATGCAAATTAGCCATTTCAGAATAGTGTATATATATATATGTTTTCATTATAAGTTTTTCCTGCATTAAAGTGTTATCAAAGCTGGTAAAGGTGCAGCTAGCTAGAAATAATTGTAGTGGAGTAAAAGTTCAAAGCAGCACAAATGGAAAAACTAATGTAAAGTATCTCAAAATTGTACTTAAGTACAGTACTTGAGTAAATGCACTTAGTTACTTTACGCCACTGATTCATCATCGATCCTCGTATGTGTAAACCTACTTTGTAATAAAACCGATTCTGATTATAAGTTATAATACTTTTGATTGTATCTTTCTCATATTGTAGTTGTTATATTATAAATAAATGTTTATATCTGCTATTATATTTGACATCAGCCTGTTTTTCTTGGAAGAGAAGCCGCCCTTAGCTTTCCTCAAAGGGAAAAGGCTCCAGGCACTCTGAGTATATTTACAGTATGTTGAGAACAATGCACCCTTGTGACTGCTGACTACCAGACTCTCTGTTGTTGATGTACCAACAAAAGAGCACCTGCTGTTGCTCTCACTAACGATTTAGCCTGAAGTACAAAGACACAGTCCTGTGAGTGAGCAGCTTTTCTACGGTTGAAGGCAGCCCAGCAGAACAAGACAACAGGCTTAACTAAACACACAGCGAGGTCCACAAGTTTGAAGTAAAACTGCACTGATTGTTGTGTTTTACCTATGAGTATCAAGCATCTGTCCCTGGTTTGTGGGGTTAGGATGGGGGAGCAGTACTACAGAGACGCCATGGAGCAATGTCACAACTACAACGCCAGGCTGTGCGCTGAGAGGAGCGTCCGGATGCCGTTCCTCGACTCTCAGACCGGCGTGGCGCAGAGCAACTGCTACATCTGGATGGAGAAGAGACACCGAGGACCAGGTGAGGCTAACATGTAGCGCGCCACAAAATGTACCCTACGCATCCCTGCAGGTTTTACATCTAGTTCATTGAGTTGGGTTTTTTTAGTCCAATGTTGAGACTGAAGGATCTTTTTAGGAACATCAACAATCAAAGTATTTTTTTAGAGATGAACTGAATGGCTGAAAGTAGGGATGCATCATTTGGATTTTTATACCAGTTATTTTTCTGCTACTCGACAACCAATCATTACCAACCACAAGGGCAATGCTGCTATTGTTTTCACTTTGAAAACAATCAGCCTGATTTAAACGTATGTTGTTAAAAATTGCCAAGATGGACAGTTTCATCTCAACTGAGCATAAAAATGGCTTCTTAGCATTTTTTCATTTCACCTTCCTCCTCTTTCTTTAATATGTTTTAAATACTTTTAACAACTAGCTTAAAAACAACAGAAAAAAAACCCAGACCAACCAAAAGAAGAAACGAATACTGAATAAAAGGAAAGTCAACACATTTTGATGGGAGAAAACGTTTAATATTGAACATAAAACATTGAGTGTAATTCAATCAAGCTTCCAGTTCGACCCGGCTTCAAATGAGAATGCTAACTATCCAAACCAACTGTCTGTTTGCCCAGAAAAGGACCAGCTTCTGTACTGGAATAGGTTCAGTGTTATGAATGTGCTCTGATGTCCCTCAGGCGTGGCTCCAGGGCAGCTCTACACCTACCCGTCCAGGAGGTGGAGGAAGAAACGTCGATCTCATCCTCCAGAGGATCCCCGGCTTATCTTACCATCCGTCAAGTCAGGTACCACATCTCTCAGCTCGGCCCATCCTCACTTAATCATGTCAAACCTTAAGAAAAGAATATATAAACGGCTATGTTTTCCAGGCATTTAGGAATAGCTGCAAGCTTTCACACTGTTCTTTAAAAAAGGTTTAATCCTGCGATATACAGGTATTGACAATTAAAAAAACTATTGATATCATGTTATTGTTACACTTATAATATTATTGTGTAAATAATCCAGCGCCTCTTGGATAACTTCTAACTCCTCTAACAGTTATGGCTGGACACCACCTTCCGACACAAATGACTAATCTATTTGCCAAAAATATATAATAAACACATTTTAAGATTTATTTGACTTCCACCAAAGCTCTAATATTGTGACTGCGTTATTGAAAGCTTTTTCTATATGAAATCACTTCCAGGTGATTAGATTATTTTTTGCTTGTGTGCTAGTGTTTTAACTCTTGTGTATTGTATTCATAGAGGTGGATGTAGGACTGAAGAAGGATGCTCTGCTGTCAGCGGACGGCAGCAGCCTGGAGGCGCTGCTGAAGGGCGAGTCCGTGGAGAAACGAGCGACCTCCGAGCTGCGAGGGTCCGAGGAGGACTCGAACCAGTCTGACTACACCGGAGGCCTGAACCCCTCGGCGCGCATCAGAAAGGTTGTTATTTTCAGCATGAAGAACATTTAGCTTGGATAAGGGTAGTTCAGTCAGACAACGCACGTGTTTCTTAATATGTTTATTAGAAGCAGCATATAGTTTGAGTTTGGCGTCTAGGCTCGGGCCTCATCACTCCACAGATTTACAAAGAACATTGAGTGATGATAAGATAACTATCCCCCGAGCCTACGGGTGGAGCTGGAGTGGAGCTGGGGTGGAGCTGGAGTGGAGCTGGGGTGGAGCTGGGGTGGAGCTGGGGTGGTGGTGGTGGGGCAGGCGAGCAGCAGCAACATGAAACACAGCAGCAGGAACATGAACGCAGCAATAGCAAGTGAACACAGCAGTGGCAGCATAGCGAGTCAGAGGCAGGAAGACCTGGCAGCTAGTGTTAATTTCGTCAGCTATTTTCTTTATTTAGTTTTAGTCCTGTGTTAAATTTCCGTTTTAGTCATATTTAGTCACCTTCATCCTGTTTTTATCAAGTTTTAGTCGACTAAAACTCTGAGCATTTTAGTCTTATTTTAGTCAAAGAAAACGAATTATTTACTTTTTGTCAATGAAAACTGTTGACACTTTTTTAGTCATCAGATTACATAGAACATTTCAGTCAAGCTAGTCTAGCCAAAACCAATAATTTGTCATTTTAGTCAAACTTATTTCCCAATAAGATTATATCTTGTCCTTATTTGATGAAAAACACAGGTTGAATGATTAAGAAGCTTTGCAGAGAGTATCTGGTCAGGTTTGTGGTGTTTGTACCAGCTGTGTTATGGCCACATTGCTTCCCTTCTGATAAAACAATGCATTTGCTTTTTTTCTCCGCCTCATTGTAGCGAAAATGGGCCCAAATATCACATTGTTTCTTTCTCCCAAGCAGTGGTGGCGTTAGACTTTTTCGTTGTCAGTCATTTTGACGGATCGTAACATTTCCATCATAATCCATTATTACCCGTCGAGTCTGTACACAACTCGTCACTCACTCGCGCTGACAGGGGGGGGGGGGGGGTACTCGGTTAACGCGACCACTGCTCCCAAGCCCTGTTGTTTCCATTTTATTTTCTGTTAAATAAGGTTAGTTAGACCATGAGTCTGACCCGAGTCTTCCTGACAGTTCAGTGTGCCGCTGCCCGGTGTCATTCAAATCTACCGCCGCGCGCAGCACACACACACACACACACACACACAGCTGCTGCCCAGCGCAGCACCGGAAGTGGAACTGCTAGGAGAAAAACTGACTCAGAGATGTAACGTTATCTTTGATAATATTTCATCTCGTCACTTTTCGTCAACGATATTGCATGTTGATTTCGTTGCAGTTATTGTTTACTGCCGTCGGTGCCGTCTCGTCATCGTCTCGTTTTAGTCATGGGGAAAAAAGGTCGTTGACGAACATATTTCGTCATAGTTTTAGTCAACGAAATGAACACTACTGGCAGCTTAAATAGAGCGGCATGTTTAGGAGAATGTGTTTGGTTGTAAGAGGGACGGGGTGCGTCACGTGTGAATGTATCATTGGTGCTCGAGTTGACTGCCTGAACTAGCTCGCAGGCTTCACCCCATTTGTGTTTAAGAATGAAAGGTGAAGCACAGACAAGAGGGATCAATCTGTTATCGTGTTTCTTTCTTATTGTTTGCTGGTTGATCCGGCAGGAAAGGGGATAACAAACACACAGTAGTTTACACAAAAAAGTTAGGATTCAAATATTATGTTGGCCAGGGTAGTTATCTTCAAATGTAATCAGGCATAACAATGTCGTTTCAACAGTATATAAACTACTTAATCTGTTGTTTAATTTTCTCATTTTCCCATTGCTTCAACATAGAAAGTCCTGGAGCCAGATGACTTCCTGGATGACCTGGAGGATGAAGACTATGAGGAAGACACGCCTAAAAGAAGAGGCAAAGGGAAGGGGAAGGTACAGAAGTGTGGGGGTGTGTGGGGGTGTGTGTATATTTATTCCCTGACATGTTTTGCTATCTTTGGGACCTTGAATACCCTGTCAAATTAAAATAATGACCTCCAAGGTGATGATGATGATGGGTCTTTTGCCTGTGTGTGTTCCTGACTCTAATGACGTGGTGTCCTCAGGGTCGAGGAGTGGGGGTGGGCAGGAAGAAGCTGGACACGGCGGCGCTGGAGGACCGGGACAAACCGTTCGCCTGTGACAGTGAGTCCTGACGGGGAGAGTAGAGACTGCAGATGTTTAATTTGATCAATCAAAACTTTTCTCTCGTTCTTAATCGCTCTTCTTTTAGTCCTCTGTCTTCTTGTACATCTTATTCCTGCTAGCTGTTAGCCAAATCTGGTACATTGGAAACCGCTAATAATGGTTACAGTGATCGACTACTTAAAATCCTGCGACAGAAACTTTACCGTACAAAAATATAGTAATATGTGTATATATAAATATTTTAAATTATATTTGTTATTATAAGGCATTGAAAGTCTAACATTTATTGTCAGGCCTTTTATATAATGTAGTATATATTTATATAATGGCACTTACCGTTTCATCACTTTCAATCAGGTCAAAATCTGCACGGGAAATAAAGGGGAAAAATCTCTTCATAATCAACAAGTAATTGGATGTAGATTAGTAACTGAAGTTTATTTTAGAGCACATTTAAAAACAAATAAGTATATACCAAAGTGCGATACAAGAAACAGGCAGATAACAGAGTTCTTAGTAGAACGAGACGAGAGGGAATAATAGTGGTCAGATTGACAGATATAGTCACTGTAGGTGTTACTGTGTTTAGGAAAGCTAGTGCTCGGCTGTATCGTTCTGTTTGTCATTATATCAAACATTTCTAGTTTGATTTCTTAGCCAGGCTTTTCAAATGTCTACTTTCTGGGGGGGAAATGTTCCTCTCAGTTGCTTGGTGTTGTCAGATGTACAGCTTGATGTGTTTTCCTCTTCCAGCTGCTGACTGTGACCCTCTGAGCGTCTGTGATCGTATTCCTCTGAGTCTCTGTCTGTGTCTCTTCTCCTTCTCTTCTCTCTTTCAGACACTATCAAACAAAAGCATATTTCAAAACCTTCTGAAAGAGGTATACTTCTCTCGTTCCTTTTACTCCTGTCTGCCTTGTCTTTTGTCCTCACTGCCTGTCCTTATTTGATGTCCATGGGACCAAGTCGATGTGTGGTTCAGTTCCTCGGCTAGATGTGTTGTGTTGCACAGTTAAATGAATGTGATCAAAATCATGTTGTTATGGATCTGTCTCAACTGTAGTCTGGCCCTTTCACCTTACAAAAGATAAGCTGCGTCCCACAAAAAGTCATTTGTCCCTTTTTTTAAATCTGGACCTGAATGCCCCACAGATTAAGATAAGAAGCTTTTGTTTTCATCTCTCTTTGTGACTGAATCTCAATCTTCTTGTTCCTTCATTCCTCTGCTCCACCTTTGCACCCGGCACAGTCTCATTCACGTTCCATGTGCTGCCTTTTGTTTTTAATCGAGTCTGTATGCACACAATAACTTGGCATGTGACTAACTGTGCGTCTTGAGCAACTTCACTCAAATGCTCTGTAAAAAGAAAGGAACATGAGCCTTTAAGGGAAGTGAGCATTAGAGAAAGTATGGAAGTGAAAGCAGAAGTGCTTTGTCGTTGGGCGTCATCTTATGACAAGCCTCACACACACTCCCTGGGATGATGGCGGGACACGGTAGCATCTTTGTCCCTCATGATGTCAAAGACTAATCCTTAAACAATCACACCGGCACCTCGTAGCCCACAGATTCATATCGGACTAAATTCAGATCTGAAACATTACACATATGTTCACATTAGCCCCACGTTGCTATGATTTATTAATGTGAATTCACAGATGTCATATACACTCAAGTGTCCTTTTGAGAGGGCATAGAGTTGAATGAGTTTCTCACAAGGAGTCATTTGTTAAACGCTGCAGAGTTCTGCTCTTAAATTGAAGAAGTAAGAAAATGATTGCAGATGCGTGTTGCGTTCAGTGGCTCGGATGTTATCTCAATGATTTTATTAAATACATGTCACCCAGACAAGAGGAGGTGGTGTCTGATGCCGTCATTGCATCAAATCATGTTCTTCATATTCAACCGCTTGACCTTTCCCTCTAATGTCGTTGCTTATTGATCCATTTATTGAACATAAAGTAGGATACAACCGAAACTCTGGGTTTTTAAGTGACCTCCCTCCTGTCCCAAACACTGTAAAATGAAACCTTTTGACGGTTATGGATATCCTACTTCTGAACAGTTGCTATTTAATCTACTAAATTATCTAAAAAGGCCGCTCAAATCAGGGTATCATCGTAAAGGACAGCTACTAAAATACAACAATCTGGACAATAGAATTATACAATAGTGGAAAGTATTTATGTTACTCTCAACTGTCCTTTTAATATCTTCTGATCAGAAGTAATACCCCCTGAGTCCCCCCCTGTTCACTACTGTCTTCGTACAGCATAGACTCGTGGACTTAACTCGTGTATTCTCTGTTTTCATACATGTGTTTTTTTCTGGTTTTGGTGGCAGTCTGTGGGAAGCGCTACAAGAACCGTCCCGGCCTGAGCTACCACTACGCCCACTCCCACCTGGCCGAGGAGGAGGGTGAGGAGGAGATGGAGATCAGCGAGCCCAATCTGCCGCTGCCCAACGATCCCAAGAGTAAGAGATCATTCAGAGAGTTCAGATTTCGTTCAAAGTAAAGCTGGACTTTTGAGGCGCTGAACGCTGATGCACTCTTTCACCCTATTTCTCAGCTGCCAAGAAGGGCCCAGATGGTATTGCATTGCCTAATAAATACTGTGATTTCTGTCTGGGAGACTCCAAAACCAACCACAAGACCGGCCAATCAGAGGAGCTGGTTTCCTGCTCCGACTGCGGACGCTCAGGTACGTTAGAGAACAAAACGTTTAATATATGCAGCTGAAAGAGTAGCAGTCTATGCATTAGAGCAATAGCTCACGGAGGGTTTCTGCCCCGTTACTTCTCCGCTGTTTTCTTGTCCCAGTTTGAAAAGCAAACTGCATGCAGTTAAATCGACCGGACTTCTTTCTGCAGATGTGAGCGTCCGTAACGACAGTCAATAAGTCCTTGCTGCACATTATCCCTTACATGTTTCCATCTTGAGCTTTGTTAGTTAGTTAGTTAGTTAGTTTCGTAACGGACGTAATGTAACGGTTGTAGCTTTTCTCAGACGCGGAGGGATACTGACTTGTTGTGAAAAGTAACTACAATTCTACCCGTGATATATGCTCATGCTCATCAGATTGCTTGATTTGACTTGTCCGTTTTATAAATAACCACGTGTCCCCTCTGTGGAAAGAGATTCTGAAAGATTTGCTCTCTTTTTGTGCTGATCCATTTCTATAAAAACCTGTCTGGAAATGAGCTGATCAGATTTTGGCCACTTTATGATGTCATAATGTTTTTTTGGCCTTATCACCTGAATCTCCTCCTAGAGCAGTGGTTCCCAACCTGGCGCCAAAGATCGCAGGGGGGGCGCCAGGCCTCAGAGGATTTGAGGCCAAATATCATATTTAGACTTTAAAAAAACAAACATATTATTTTACATATAATTGTAAGGCAATACATGATTGCCACTAAAAGCCTTGTCTCTACATTACAATAAAATATAAAAAATAATTGATTAATTAATTTGAATAATAATTCAAGTTAATATTTTAAAGGCATAAAAAGACATAAATGTATAATTCTTTCTTTAATATAAATGTTTCTTCTGCTCGTAAAGTGTCCAAACCGGGCTTATAAGCGCATTTTTAAAACATAGTCATTGTCCATGCCGGTTTCAGTTGGATTATTTATCCCAGTTGCTCCGATCAGATCGGTCTCCTCCATTTTGTAGATTATTTACGACTTTTGAATCCACATAAACACATCGGCAAAATCCGGCTTACTTTGAGTATGCGTTTTAAACAGTCTAATCCCTTTGTGAATTGTTTCCACTTCCGCGCCGTCCTTTAATTTCTTCATACAGCGGGAATCCAAATGAATTAGAGTCCAATAACCATCAAAGTCACTCCAATAGTGCTCCTTAATTACGCTTTCATCCTCCTTTAACAAAATACATCATTCATCCAGTTTGTGACAGTAGCTGTAGCATTTTGAGACTTTGAAACTTTAATTACCGCTGTTGGTTTGGTGTTTAGAGCCAAACACTTCAGAGACATGTTTTGTATTTATCTGAGAGCTATAATATATTGATGAAAAACAGAATAATAGGGGACCTTTAATATATGCAGCTTCGTGTTCCCTCAGGCCACCCGTCCTGCCTGCAGTTCACCCCCGTCATGATGGCCGCTGTGAAGACGTACCGCTGGCAGTGCATCGAGTGCAAGTGCTGCAACGTGTGCGGCACCTCGGAGAACGACGTGGGTTTACTCGCATTCAGTTATGGTGTGTGTTACACAGTGCTGAGGTCTGATGTGTGTAATGTTCTTGTTTTGTTCCCAGGATCAGCTTCTGTTCTGTGATGACTGTGACAGAGGTTACCACATGTACTGCATCAACCCCCCCATGGCTGAGCCTCCAGAGGGTAAGTTCACCACACGGCAAAAACACAAAGTCATTACTGAGCCAGGGGCATCAATAAGATTAGATAAGATGCTCCTTTATTAATCCCCGTGGGGAAATTCAGTAGTTTAACAGCAACAGGGTAAGATTTGAAAAACGCGACAGCACAGATTAATTAAATGAAGGATCAAATCAAAGATAAAAAAATAGTAAATAACTATAAAATAAGAAATAAATTAACATATATATATATACATATTTGGTCATGTGTACATATTATTTACATGTGTGTGAAAACAATGTGTATTTTATGTCCAGTATTTGTGTCACATTGTTGACCCCTTGTTGTGCAGCCTGATGGCTACAGGCACAAAGGATCCTATAAGGGTCCTTAGTGACAGGGATGTAGTTTGTAGTCATTTCGGTATAACACTACCTCTTTTAAAATACAATATACTGTTTTATGTCTTACTTTAACGGTATTTAGTTGTATGTGTATGTAAATCCACATAATCGTTCTATTTCTTTATCCTCACCTTATTTCCTACCTGGCATTAAACCTGATTGTGTTTCTGAAGCACGTACGTCTGAGACACTCACAGATTTTCTCTGAACTGTGTGTCCCTCAGGGAGCTGGAGCTGTCACCTGTGTCTGGACCTTCTGAAAGACAAGGCGTCCATATACCAGAACGCGTGATGCCCCCCCCCCTCGGAGCTCGGAGGGAGAGCTCAGAACAGACAATACGTTGTGAAAGGGGAAGTATCCCAAACAAACGGCCCTCCCTTAGCTTCAGATATGACTGTTACACAGTTCCAAGCTCAGACGAACCCCCCACGGTTTTTATTTTCACCTCTTTGCCACATAGCCAATTTGAGCAGCACTGAATCTCAACAGAAAACACATCAATCTGTTTTTGTACACATTCACCCACACACAGTTGCTAAAACAGCAAATATAGAGCTTGTTGGAATCAAGTAGCATGCCAGTGCTTGGTCATCGTAACGCAGAAGATTTTATAATATTTATATATTTCTATGGTATATAATAGTGTTAAGTATGTACTAATTGGGAAAAAGGAATGGTTATGTAATGGTCTTTTTATTAGTGCCCATTTCATCATTATGGAAATATCCACGTTTTTTATGGCACTGCTGATATTTGGTGGTTCTCTCGAAGGAGTCAAAGCGATCGGCTGTAAATGATTTTCCGTCTCCCGCCACACGGAAACAAATCAGGAAGTATAAACACAAACCCTGACATGTCAAAGTGTCTCCAAAGGCTGAGGGTCTCCAGGGACGTTGGAGGATGCATGAGGACATTTAGCATGTTTTATTCAGGCTTTGGGGCCTTTTTGACAAAACTGTAGGCTTTCCCTCTCGTCCTCTGATATTTGAATTATTACTCCGGTCAAATCAACAATCCTTCTTGCGTTATCAGCCAGATAAAGGGGTTTAGAAAAAGCCTTTGTCGCTGTGTTTTAGCAGTTTGCTCGCCACGCAGCATATCTGTTCATGCTGTGACGCCACTGGATTATTTCATTGTAATTGAAGACTTGTAGATGGCTGGAAATGTTAAAGCAATATAAAGCTCCTGTAGGATGCTGGGATGAATGGCAGAGTCGGGTTATGTGATACTTCTTTCTCAGTCAAATGCTACAAATATGGAAGGCTCTATATTGTAAAAAAAAAATAGATTATAATTTCTATAGAAGTTTGGAGAATTGGCTCTATTTGTTACTGCTTCCATAGTTTTATGATGCAATGGTCTGCTTACTTTACCTCAAACAGAAACAGTATTTAAAGGGGGGAAACATGCTGTTGAGATGGGTCAAAGGCAGAGGGATGTGTCTGCTTCTATAACTGCGTATTCTACAGGTAAACAAGGGCATGCTCAGCATCGTCTGCACTTCATATGCTGCATAGCGTTAGCTCTGCAAAGGTGTTGGTGAGCAGTGTAATATAAACTAACCACGCTATCATGTTGTTTCAATAGCCAACTAACAATACTTAAAACATTACATGCATATATCTTGGTTTATTTTTACTTATTTAGAGACAGTGGCTACTAGAATATTTGGCTGGTTGTTTTTGTATTAATGGATCATATTTGAGTACCTGATGGGGATATGTTGGGACTAAAGTGGAATTTGCTCTCTAGTTATTCCTGTGATCCTCAGCTCTCTTCCAAAACAAGAAGCGAAACCTGTAATGTGATTTAAGAGACACATTGAGTTATAAAGGCTAAAATCACTTTGATCCCTCCAGACGGTGACCTTTTTGAACATTAAAGTTTGTAAACATGTCACAGTAGAGGAACAAAATACAAATATGCACCTGAAAATGTGCATAATAGAGCCCTTTAAGAAATGATGGACACAGTTACGCAGCGTCCACCCGGCAGCGTGCGTTGAAGCTTGCCGGTGGGCGTGTCTGAAACTCGACCAACAACTAATCACATGAATCTCCCGCCCCGGACACACAAGCACGCGGTTTGATTGGCTAGAGCTTGTACTGGCATATTATTTGATTGGCTGACGCTTCCGTCGAAGCTTCAAAAGTTGAACATTGCTCAACTTTTGAAGCGAGCGAAGCGACGGAACCACAATGCAGTTCGTCACCCCATTCAAAGTGAATGGGCAGAAGCGTTGAAGCTTCAATGCACGCCGCCGTATGGACGGGCCGTTAGTATCCACCTTCTAGGCTGCACTCGGAGGAAAAGCCCTAAACAAATCATATTTTAAATATTATGGTTTCAAGTCTTGGAAGAGAATTGTTTTAACAAGGATCACAGGTTTACATAGCAGGTGAATTCTCTATTTGATGGACTTTCATTTGGATTGTGGTAGAATGTTTTATTGTACGAAATTTGTCTTCAGGAAATAAAAAAACTAGGCACTATAACCTGCTGAAATGTTGTCTTCCTCATTGAGCATTTTGAGAAAATAACGATATGTTGTTATAAAGACCAATCTTACAATAACACCACGCTTTGTGTTCTGAATTTGAATCAACTGCATTATCACTTTTCTATTGTGTAAATAACACATCACTGCAGCAATAAATGTGGGTGATGGGACATATTTCATTTGAGTGCCTTCTGTATTTTACGAGAATATCTGTATGAAAAAAAACAGCTTTTTTAAATTGAGAAGTCTTGATTTATTTCAATAGATTCCATGTCTATGGACCCAGTCACTGCAAATAATGCAGCATTGGACCGGGGGTCTTTGGTCACATGACATGGAAACTAATGAAATGTCATCAATTTATTCATATAAAATAGAAGTTCTAAAATCCAATAAAAACCGGTTTGTCCTACTTGGTTTGACAAATTAAAAGGAAATGTATGTTTGATGGAAGAGCTTATAATGGTTAGTGTAAGATACTATAAGTTAATTGGAGGCTTGCCTTAAGGTGCATTTCTTGATTAATTATAATATAACTGAAAAAATACACTTCATCGAAACTTGGAGTGTTTATTTAAAAATATGTGCTGCTCTTCAGTCGATACAGTAATATTACTGGCCATAAAAAAAATCCATTATCCAGATGAAGCAAGAGTCCTTTGTTCAAGTTGCAGCATTCTTTCATTTCTGTGGTTGTTGAAAAATCAAACAAACGAGCGCTTCATCAGGGACGGAGTGTACCGTATCTCATTGTAAGACTCCTCCTCCTCCTCCTCCTCCTCCTTCCTCTCCCTCCACCTCCCGTCCTGTCCGGTCCGATGGAGCCACAGAACCAGCACCATCAGCGCCAGCAGCACCAGGCTCATGGACAGGGTCAGCAGCACCGCCTGCAGGACGCCCGAGGGACTGGCTGGGGCTGAACACAGGGACAGAACCTCATCAAATCACTCAAATCCAAAGGTTTATTGTCATATGCACAAAGCTACAGTGTAGAAATGGCAATGACATTCTTCTGACCTGAGCTCCTCCAACATTACATTACATTACATTTAGCTGACGCTTTTATCCAAAGCGACTTACAATAAGTACATTCGACCAGGAAGACACAACCTTGAAGAAAACAGAATCATATAAGTACATCAGGTTTCATAGATCCAAACATTTCAAGTGCTACTCAACTGGCTTTAGATAAGCCAGTCCTTTATTAGTATATAAGTGCTTTGTTAATAGTTCTATTGCTCGAAGTGGAGTTGAAAGAGATGAGTTTTCAGTTTGCGCCGGAAGATGTGCAAGCTTTCTGCTGTCCTGATGTCAATGGGGAGCTCATTCCACCATCTTGGAGCCAGGACAGCAAACCCATGTGTTTTTGCTGATGGGAACTTGGGTCCCCCTCGCAGCGAGGGTGCAGTGAGCCGTTTGGTTGATGCAGAGCGGAGTGCACGTGCTGGGGTGTACGGTTTAACCATGTCCTGGATGTAGGAAGGGCCAGATCCATTCGCAGCATGGTACGCAAGTACCAGTGTCTTGAAGTGGATTCTAGCAGTTACCGGAAGCCAGTGAAGGGAGCGGAGGAGCAGAGTGGTGTGGGAGAATTTAGGAAGGTTGAAAACCAGACGAGCCGCTGCATTCTGGATGAGCTGCAGAGGTCGGATGGCACATGCAGGTAGACCAGCCAGGAGGGAGTTGCAGTAGTCTAGGCGTGAGATGACGAGAGCCTGGACCAGAACCTGCGTCGCTTTCTGGGTCAGCTGGGGACGTATCTTCCTGATGTTGTAAAGCGTGTCTCTGTAGCAACGGGTTGTAGCAGCGATGTTTGCATTGAAGGACAGGTTGTTATCTAGGGTCACACCCAGATTCCTTGCAGTCTGAGTCGGGGAAACAACTGAGGTGCCGATGTTGATTGTTAGGTCAAGAGTGGGACAATCTTTTCCCCCCAACAATGCAACATATATATAATAAAATAAAAAGTAGTGCAAAAAGTCTATATATAGTGGGGCAAAAAAGTATTTAGTCAGCCACCAATTGTGCAATTTCTCCCACTTAAAAAGAGGAGAGAGGCCTGTAATTTTCATCCTAGGTATACCTCAACTATGAGAGACAGAATGAGAAAAGAAATAATCCAGAAAATCACTGTCTGGTTTTTAAAGAATTGATTTGCAAATTATGGTGGAAAATAAGTACTTGGTCAATAACAAAAGTTCATCTCAATACTTTGTTATATACCCTTTGTTGGCAATGACAGAGGTCAAACGTTTTCTGTAAGTCTTCACAAGGTTTTCACACACTGTTGCTGGTATTTTGGCCCATTCCTCCATGCAGATCTCCTCTAGAGCAGTGATGTTTTGGGGCTGTCGCTGGGCAACACGGACTTTCAACTCCCTCCAAAGATTTTCTATGGGGTTGAGATCTGGAGACTGGCTAGGCCACTCCAGGACCTTGAAATGCTTCTTACGAAGCCACTCCTTCGTTGCCCGGGCGGTGTGTTTGGGATCATTGTCATGCTGAAAGACCCAGTCACGTTTAATCTTCAATGCCCTTGCTGATGGAAGGAGGTTGTCACTCAAAATCTCACGATACATGGCCCCATTCATTCTTTCCTTTACACGGATCAGTCGTCCTGGTCCCTTTGCAGAAAAACAGCCCCAAAGCATGATGTTTCCACCCCCATGTTTCACAGTAGGTATGGTGTTCTTTGGATGCAACTCAGCATTCTTTCTCCTCCAAACACGTCTAGTTGAGTTTTTACCAAAAAGTTCTATTTTGGTTTCATCTGACCATATGACATTCTCCCAATCCTCTTCTGGATCATCTAAATGCTCTCTAGCAAACTTCAGACGGGCCTGGACATGTACTGGCTTAAGCAGGGGGACACGTCTGGCACTGCAGGATTTGAGTCCCTGGCGGCGTAGTGTGTTACTGATGGTAGCCTTTGTTACTTTGGTCCCAGCTCTCTGCAGGTCATTGACTAGGTCCCCCCCGTGTGGTTCTGGGATTTTTGCTCACCGTTCTTGTGATCATTTTGACCCCACGGGTGAGATCTTGCGTGGAGCCCCAGATCGAGGGAGATTATCAGTGGTCTTGTATGTCTTCCATTTTCTAATAATTGCTCCCACAGTTGATTTCTTCACACCAAGCTGCTTACCTATTGCAGATTCAGTCTTCCCAGCCTGGTGCAGGTCTACAATTTTGTTTCTGGTGTCCTTTGACAGCTCTTTGGTCTTGGCCATAGTGGAGTTTGGAGTGTGACTGTTTGAGGTTGTGGACAGGTGTCTTTTATACTGATAACGAGTTCAAACAGGTGCCATTAATACAGTTAACAAGTGGAGGACAGAGGAGGCTCTTAAAGAAGAAGTTACATGTCTGTGAGAGCCAGAAATCTTGTTTGTTTGTAGGTGAGCGAATACTTATTTTACCGAGGAATTTACCAATTAATTCATTAAAAATCCTACAATGTGATTTCCTGGATTCTTTCCCCCCATTCTGTCTCTCATAGTTGAAGTGTACCTAGGATGAAATACTTTTTTTCCCCACTGTACACGTCAATATAATATGGGATATGTACAAGAACAGAATATGAAATTAAATAATCTAAATGAAGACAAAATTAAATACGGTTTATTGCGGTGATAACTATTTATATAAATTAGTATATTGCAAGATGACAACAGGAAGGCTTCAGTAGAGACAGGCAGAGAGCATCATGGGGGAACAGAGAGGCTCTTACGGGTGTAGATGGACAGGTTGACGTAGCAGTTCTCTGTCCCCAGGTGGTTAGCGGCAGAGCAGCGATACAGGCCGGACGTCTGAGAGGATACGTTGACGATCTGGACGGAGCCGGACAGATCTCCTGAGAGAGGACACAGAGACACTAACTTTAATAGTGTTGAACTTACAAGAGAAGAGGAAAGAAGGTATGTGTGTAATCAACGATGTGCTATAGGTAGATCACACAAAATAAAAACCTTAAAAGCATTAAGATGCAGTGTAACAGAAACACAGAACACATTTTAAACAGTCATCAAAAAGCCTAGAGTATAATATAAAACAAGCTAAAATAGAATAAGACAGTAACAAATCAGGATTCAAAGTTCCAGATGTTTGGAGCATAATAAGTGAACGCTGCTTCTCCATGTTTGGTTCAGACTCTGGGTCAGAAAGCAGACCAGAAGACCCGAGAGTTCTGGATGTAGCAGGAGATCAGAAATGTATTTTGGCTCTGAACCATTCAGTGCTTTATAAACCAGCAGCAGCATTTTGAACTCAATTATTTGACAGACAAGAAGACAGTATTAAAACCTTAAAACTGGAGTGTTGTGATCCAGCAGAGGGTGTGCATGATTACAAATCACAAGCTCAAAGGAACTGTTCAGAAATTGAACATAAAGTTGGATTATTCTCAGCCATTTTTGACAGGTGTTCGTCTGAGGTTTCACAACATAACCCTGATAATGTCATAGTTGGGTTATCTTGGCTTGAGACTTGAAAACAATGTTTTGATAGAAATTGTAGATGTATGGTCTGAAAGATGTTGGCCTTTAAGACACGGGAGGTCAAATAAAATATGCTGTAACAGGGCTGGAGTACTGGAGTCCCATGTGGGTCTTGAGTTCACTTTTTTGGAAGACTTGTAACACGCATTAGAATATATTATGGGCCAGTAATCTACTTTTGACATTTTCTATTTATATATTTTTTTACAACTTGTATGCTATCAGACCAAGCTGTAAGTGTTTGTGCAGGAGATCAGAGGATTAGAAAATGTAGAATCAAGCATTTTCCATATTAAAAAAAAAGAAAGTTGAACCATTCTTCTTCTAATAAAGTCTCTTGTGAGTTCCCACGTGCAATATTAAATTGTATATTGAATTCCCTGACCTTTTTAGCTATCTTTGGGATCTTGAATACCCTGTCTCCAAGGTGATGATGGTGTGTGTGTGTGTGTGTGTGTGTGTGTGTGTGTGTGTGTGTGTGTGTGTGTGTGTGTGTGTGTGTGGTGTGTGTGTGTGTGTGTGTGTGTGTGTGTGTGTGTGTGTGGTGTGTGTGTGTGTGTGTGTGTGTGTGTGTGTGTGTGTGTGTGTGTGTGTGTGTGTGTGTGTCACTGACCGTCCATGTTGATGGGTAGTGCGATCTCCTCTGGATTCAGTTTGTCCCAGCGGATCTCTGGGGTGGGGATGCCCTCGGCCACGGAGCAGGACAGCGTGACACTTCCTCCCACATCGATGTCTCCGTCCCACTGGCACACAGGCAGCGAGGGGGGCGCTTCAAAACAAATCAGTACATGAGTTTCAAAGTATGAGATGCAGTGAAACGCTCACAGATAGATGTGAGTTCAGTGTTTCAATGCTTTGCTGTGAGAATGACCTTAACAGACATTTCAGGGTTTGCAGGTATTTAAATCAAAGCATTTGATTAAAGGAATATGTAAGTAGATCAAGCACACTAGAGAAGTGATAAGGAGGAGAAAAACATCCAACCCATTGCATCAACTTTTTTTATACTCTATAGGCTACAATCCATGGGTTTGATTAGAGTCAACAAATCACCAAAGTTATTAGGACTCATCCTCTGGAGACCATGAATGTGGGTATGAAATGTCATGGCAATCAATCATAATGTTAGAAGAGGAATTATATTTTTATAATACATTATATTTCAGTCCATGGCAGTGGTGGAGAAATGATCCACGCTGCTAGCACGACTAAAAACGACTTGCTTGTTGACCTGTTTAGCCCCAATGGTAATGGCAGATATGCAAATATAAAAAATACTCAATATTACATCAGAATAAAAAGGAAATACATGTGCATCCCTAGTACAGAGTACAGTACATCAACAAGTGGTGTTTTCTTCTAATATATGTGCCTTTTAACTGGACGATTTGTGACTCACTCACCCAGCACGCTGAGCTCCAGCTCTCCGATGCCGGGATCTGCCGTCTCTGGAGGGTTGTTGACCATGCAGCGGTAAATACCAGCATCTGATATCAGGGTGTCATTCAGGGAGATGTCTGCACTCCAAGGTATACCTGCAGTCGGTTGATGTGAATTATTTTTTATTTGATTATGTCTTAAATCCTTAAAACATTTCAAATGAACATGTAAAAATCCAAATAACTATTTTGAGTATTATCCATGTGAAAACACAAACATCACAATTCAGATAAGAGAGGGTTTCAGTGGTCTTACCTGTAAAACCCACCCTGCCAATGAGTGAGGGGTCTTCGATCACCTGACCATGGTCGTACACAATCACCTGCAAGTGAGATCAGACACATTCAGTGTGAATCCGTATGTTCTGTATTTCATTAAACTAAAACTGAAAATGTTCTGTTTCCTAAATATTATTAAAAACGGTAATATGTGGTCCGGTGTTTCAGTGTTGATCCACTGCCTGAGTTTGCTTAGTGAAAGGCAGGTTTCCCTAAAAGCAAAACACTGACGACACATTTTTGATACTAAATATCTTGGTTTCTTATGTCCTAAAGGTACATTGTTCTGTTTTCTTACATAATACACGAGTATTGATATTTATTATTCTGTATTTTCTTTATCTTTAATTATTTGCATTGCATTTGATATTAAGGTGATCCAAAAGTAACAGGAAAGTAATAATAATTACATTACTTTAATTATTTTGTACTAAGATTAGATAACCTTTTTTTGAACAGGTAACTTGATCTGAACACAGTTTTAAAGTAAGCCTCCTAACTCTTGATATGTGCCTGTCAAAGGTGTGTGTGTGTGTGTGTGTGGCCTAGCATTACTATACTTGTGGGGACCTAAATCTGTTTACACAGTCACGCATTATAAACTTAAACTGCATTATAATTTGTTCAGCATTGAACTATCCTATCCCTGTTGACGTGTGGGGACTCGCCTCCCTTATGGGGACAAATTGGAGGTCCCCATGAGGGGAATCATTCATTTTAGGGTGAAGACTTGGTTTTAGGATTAGGGTTAGGTTAAGGGTAAGGGTTAGGGTTAGGCATGTGTTGGTTATGGTTAAGGTTAGGATAAGTCTCTAGGAAATGCATGTAAGTCAATGTAATGTCCCTGTGTGTGTGTGTGTGTGTGTGTGTGTGTGTGTGTGTGTGTGTGTGTGTGTGTGTGTGTGTGTGTGTGTGTGTGTGTGTGTGTGTGTGTGTTGATGTTAAGAAACAGACCTGTTTGGGGGTCTCAGGACTGGAGAAGGGGGCCATAGTCCAGATGACGTTGAGTCTGGAGAGCGGGCTGGAGGTGAAGAAGGAGCAGGGCAGCAGCACCTCGTCACCCTGCACCGCCTCCAGGCTGGACTCCCTCATCGTCACCCTGAGAGCAGCTGAGGGCATCCACAGGTGTGAAGAGGACACAAAAACAACAACATACAAGTCAATTAAACTCTGGTGCACTGTATTCAGTACTTTTACTCTTATTCTACTTTACTTGAATATTTCCATTTCATACCAGAACAAGATCGCTTACTTTTACTCCCCAATATTTATTAAATACTGACACATGATGTGCTTACATGCAGTATTGTACTCATAATCAACTGTGTATTTTATTAAGTATCTTAAAATGATAGACTTTAACATTAAAATGCTCTTACATGTATTTGTTAGTGGTAAAAAGAAGAAAATATAATAACCATAGTAATACCATAAAAGAGCCAAAACAATTTATTTCCCTCTTGATAAGCTGATCATATCAGTACTCTATGTTTTCTGAAATAGTTCACTGTGCTGAACAAGTACTTTTGGTACTTCAGTTACATTTTGATGGTAATACTTTTTTACTTTTACTTAAGAATTCAGGACTATTACATGTAATGGAATATTTTAAGTCCATAGGTTTCTACTTTGACTTCAGTGATGATGTATTCTAAGTACTGCATTTCACTCAAATTGTACAGTAGACATTTCATGTAAGGCGTTATTGCTTAAACTGCATTATAATTTGTTCAGCATTGAACTATCCTATCCCTGTTGACGTGCAGACTGAGCTGCTCCTCCCCCTCACCATCATTACTGAAATGACCCCCACCCCCTTCTCTCTGTCATCCCCAGGCCTTTTGTGTGTTTGTGTGTGTGGGAATTCAGCGCGCATATGAGGTTGTTAATTGCACTTGACAGATTTGATGGAGAGCCAAACCAGTCTGAGTGGAACAACAGCCCACTTCAGCAGGTCGGTTCCTGAACGCACCGTCAGTTCAGGACATTGTCTGTTAGATCACCAGTTTACACAAACAGTGCCTGTGAGCCTTTCAAATGAAAACACTCCATGTGACAAACACAGGATCTATTAAAAAAAATAGAGCAATAGGGGTTTCATGGTCTAACGGTATTTCCCTGCTGGTGATTTTAAGTTAAAATTGTATTAATGGCAGAGATAAGGACTTTTTTCATGACCTCTTTTTGTGCACTTTTACACAGTTATGGTTACAAACTCTCTTCACCTCTGTTCATTTGTATTTTGTAATGTTTCGTTCACCGGAAAAGAGACAAAATGCACAACAAACAAGGTTAAGTAAGAATTGGACTGATAGCATTATAATTATTCAGGTTTTTCTAATAGACATTGCAAGCATTTAGTTATTGTGTATTCTTTCGGTATAGTGCAAATCGAGTTGGGAAAATCTAATATTGTGACTTCCCTTAAGGGCAATATTAAAAATTGTCTGCTTCTCATTATTTGTTTTAAAATAAAGGAGTGCAATTATGCAACCATAACCATTAGATAATAAGGTTGATGGGCGCATCAGTTTTAGTATATCCCAAAAAATCTGCAACTTCACAGTTAGGCATACAAGTCTAAATGCTAAAAGGCTTAAACATGCTGGTCTACTTTCAACACCTTAACCCCAGTAGTCTACTGAGGGTCTACTGTACACTAAAATGCACAACATAAGAAGTATACAATTTAAAAACTTCTTCCAAAATCCATGTGAAGAGTTACAGACTCACTCCTGTAACTTTGCACAACCCTCAAACACTTGAAGCTGCAGCAGTGTTTAGAAAATGGACCAATATATCTCGTCTTTTCCTTCGGAATTAGTGTCAACACTAAAGAAAGTATGAATAAGTCGACACTCACCGTACTCCAGAGCGCTGAAACACACACACAGAGTCCAGAGCATCCATCTTCCAGAAGAGCCCATAGCTGAGAACCAGCGCAGCGAGCCAGCCCTCTATCCCCGTGTGTGTGTGTGTGTGTGTGTGTGTGTGTGTGTGTGTGTGTGTGTGTGTGTGTGTGTGTGTGTGTGTGTGTGTGTGTGTGTGTACCAGCTGGCTGCCAAAGAACTAGGCATGCATGATAAATCTATTGAGCGCTGCAACAACCCCACCCTCCTCCGTTCCCCCCACCCCCACCCACTTCATCCTCTGTCTCGTCAGTGTCTGTTTATCTAACTATTTTTATCTCAGAATTTCGCTGTTCTCTGTGACAATAAAAGGAATCAAATCTGATCTAACTGAATTTATTGGATAGGGACTTTTTATCACGTCCTACTGCACATTCCCAGACTGACTGCAGTGGGAGCTATATAGTGGGTCAGCATGTAAGCTAATTGGTAAATGTACATTAATTACAGCAGCTGTTTCATAGTAAATTATTACCTATTAATAAAATGCCCATAATGCTGCAGGGGGACGTACAGTACGTGGTCCACATAAACGGCTTGCCTGGCATTACCTTTCTGATACAATTATGATGATAATCTGTGGCATGTTAAAATGGTGATGACTCAAACGGCAGGAAAGGACATCGCGACAACCGGGACGATATATTCAAATGACTGTTATTCTAAGTACGTAATATTCTGTAATTTACTCTTTATACTAAGTTGCAAGTGTATGTTTCTTTCTATTTTAATAATTCATTGCAATTCAGTACATTTACATTTATTTTGATAAAAGTAATTGGCATGTTAAAATGGCAGAGTGATCGCTAAAACAGCAGGAACGGGTATTGCAACAAATGGACCAATATATTCTATGTTAATAGTCTATGTACATAATATTCTGGAATTCACTCTTTATACTGTTTTAAGATTGTTTTTACAAAGTTGCTAATGTATGATTTTTTTATTTAAATCATTCATTGCAATTCAGTAAATGTACCTCAATGTATTTATTTAGACGTTTTGTTTAACAAAGTAATTAAAGCAATTTTTAAGTCAAACCTAAAGTTACTTTTTACATAGCGATGAACCACAGCTCTTTATTTTTGGTAATGGATCATACCCTGTATTGCCCGACACCCAAAATCCAGGTATCGATATAGGGAATGAAAAAGTGGGACCCCTAATCCATTTGATTTGCAGCCCCCATCAAAAAGGGGTGGCAGGTCAGGTGTGTTTTGGATTTTAAGTATGTATTTATTTTATTCCAATATCTTGTTTGGTGACTGTTCACACTGTTTCTGCATTCATTTGGGCTCTTATAGAGTCTTATAAAAAACAACTGAAGATCACAAGATTTACTTCTCCGAATTTATTCAAATGACATCCAGCACCAGCTTTGTGCGTTCCAGCAGTGAAATACAGAATATATCAATGGTAAGTGTTTTATTCTGAGACTAACAAATAAAACATCCCCACTGAATACAAATTGGCAAAACCGTCAAGTTTTCTTTGAAGAGGGTCATCATTCAGGACTGTACAGATATTCACTTAGAGCTTGTTTATATATACACAGCACTGTGTTCTTTTCACAGTGAAGAATATACACTGTAGCATCAACCCACAGAAAACACACCAAACGTTTCAATTGTGTGCGTGTGGGTATTTGTGTGTGTGTGTGTGTGTGTGTGTAGATCTGGACTTAGTGCGTCTCAAAGTTAACCGCCTTTTAGCTCCATCTTCCAAATTCCCATTTTTTTTTTTAAACGACTGTTACCGACAGCTTGCTGCACTTCCTGTTGTCTTTATGACATTCAAACCAAATAAAAATAATAGCGTGAAACACACACACACACACACACACAAATCACAAACACACACAATCGTAATTTTTTGGGGATAAATATTCTCGCTGGTTGGACTTGTAACACTTCCCTTTGTAAAACATTTACAATGTTTTAGTGACATTGGACCAGTCTCTATTCTAGGATCAATTATACCTAATTCTGGTCTCTCGTGAGACAGGGCCTCAATAAATACATGTGAGTGAGACAGAGCGAGGGGAGAAAAAGACCGAAAGACAGACAGAGAGACAGACAGGTAAACGGAGTGAGTTCTGCTTCTTCCCCTTTAGGGTAACTGGGAGTGACCTGTTGGCAGGCCGGCCAATCACAGGAGGAAACAGACCGGTTCAGACCAATCAGATCACTTTAGTGAGAGGCTATGCCTGTTGTTGCAGTTTAGCGGCAGTACAGTCCAATCACAACAGCATGGTGACCGGTTTCTCCAGGAACTTGCGGAACTCCGCGAGCCACTGCGCTCCGACGGCGCCGTCCACCACCCGGTGGTCGCAGCTCAGCGTTACCGACATCATGCTGGCCACGTCAAACCTGTGAAGACAAACGCACGCTGCATCAGGTTCAATCTAAAAAAATGCAGTATGTGAAAAGCTTTTGTTGTATGGTAGTCATGATACTGACCCTTTCTCATTATCAGCAGGCATCAGCCGTTTCTCTGAGCCCCCGACGGCCAGGATACAGGACTGAGGGGGGTTGATGATGGCAGAGAAGTTCTTGACACCAAACATCCCTAAATTGGAGATCGTGAAGGTACCTCCCTGGGGGAACAAAACACACATGAAGAAGACTGAAATCTGCACCAAAACTGATCTGCTAACAGAATGGGTCTAATCTTTGTACCTGGAACTCGTGTGGCTGCAGTTTTCCATCCCTGGCTTTGGCAGCGAGCGCAGACACGTCGGAGCTGATGCCAACGAGCCCTTTGGTGTGAGCGTTGAACACGATGGGCGTGATGAGACCGTTGGCTGTGCTCACTGCTACACTCACGTCCACCACATGGTTCCTGGAAACATTTGAAATAAGTCAATACTGCTGACAGCCGAGAAATGTGGTCTATGTCTAAACTGAGAGGAGTTGAAGGAAAGTTTTGAGCGCCCCCTGCTGGTACGATAGTTCAACTACGCTTTAAGATACTAATATATAACAGGGTAGGAGTTTTATTATAATCAAAAAATGCTAATGGTCTCCTTTTTACTGGTGGTGTGTTTATCACTTTCTTTATATGACCTAGTGAACCATGTCAACAACGAGTTTAAAGTCACTTGAACCATAAGTGCTTAAGGATATTAGAGCAAGAATTACAATTGAGATGTTGATGTTCCTGAGAACATATGAAGAAGATAGGTTGACAAGATCTGAAGACTTTAGCTGTAGGAATAGGAGTATAATGTAAGAATATTCCTTTACTCTTTTTCAAAACGTTACTTAAATGAAAGCACAAAAGCATTAGAATCACACGTCAGTGGTAGAAAAGGTATTCATATCCTTTACTTTAGTAGAAGTACACACTGTGAAAAATACTCCACTACAAGTGAAAACCCAACTTTTCACAAAATACTCCAAGAGCCATGTTTTTATCTTTTTGTAGATTTTCAATACAATTTCATCTAAATACAATTAGTCCTTCAATATCTCAGACACATTTACTGAACAGGAAGAGTATGAAAAGCTGTAATCTGTAAAGTAAGTTACATTGCAACAAGTATGGTTGGCAAGTTTGTGTACTATGACCATGTTCTAGCTGTAAGCCAAAGAGACATATACATACACAACATATTGTCTGTTCCCTGTGTTGTTTGTGTTTACTCACTGCCTGATGACCGTGTCCAACCAGGAGGAGTTGCACTCAGGAACCTTGAGGCAGGCCAGAGCGCTGGCTTTGATGATGAAGTCGTTCACACTGAGCTTGATATTCTGCGCTTTCACCTCCTGCAGAGAGAAGGCCAGGTTGTTTAAGCGACACAGGAAACATGTCATATTTATTTTAGTCTTTTTGTCAAACAGCTATCCAAACTCACAGCATTGAGTTCTTGCCGAAGCTCGATCACTTGGTCCATGTTGACGTCTACAGACAGATAATAATGGGGGATGGTTTGTTTGGACTGCATCAACCTCTGAGCGATGACCTGCAGGAGAGACAGACATATGAACTTCAGCTTTGATCCTGAACTCATCATGGACAGGAATAAGGTGAGTCAGTTGAACCTGTGTTTATAAACATACAAGTGTCTGTCTGTAGCTGTAACTAGCTCACTGACATTATATCCGTTAATCTGCAGTTTATTTTATAGAATTAATCGTTGTTGTTTCTGTTGATAAATTAATCTTTTGGTTGACTTCACACGGCTTCGGGAAGAAGAGGAAGTCCTCATGGAACACAGGGGAGCACCAAGAGCCCCTCACCTTGCGGATGTTGCTGATGGGGACGTCTGTGAAGGTCCCAGCTGCAGCAGCAGGAGGCGCAGCAGGAGCAGCAGGAGCAGCAGGAGCAGCAGCAGCTGGAGCGGGGGCCGCAGCTACAGCCTGCCACCGGGGGGAATTTAACTTGCATTTAAAACTAAATTACATCAAAACCTTGAGAAACATACGGCACCAACACTTTGAGAGGGTTCAAAGTACAGTAAAAATATATAAATATGATTAATTAGCCAGCAATTTGAACACTTCTAAGCTAAGTATGATGTAACAATCTGTACACAAAAAAATACATATGCCAAATGAAATTAAAACTTTTGATACGTCTGAAGTAAGCGGAAATGTCTTTTTATAAATTCCTCACGATTGTTGAATTCCTAATTTCAAACAATCTTAACACCAAATAAATTCAGCACAATGTTGCTAACATCCTTAAATTGAAATCCCTAAAAAATCCAACTATGGAAATTGAAGTAGTTACATATAATAACAAAGGATTAAATGTGCATTGCTTTTACTCACAGGTGCTGCCTTTGGTGGAACAAAGCTGTCGATATCTTTCCTGGTGATGCGCCCGTCAGGACCGGAGCCTGAACAGAAACAGTATATACAAGATTTTACCATTGCTCTCTCAAGCTTTGTATTTCAATACGTAACGCTCTACCAATACAGATCTGAGAAACTACCTGCATGTTTTCACTTACCGCTGACCTGTGCCAGATCAATCCCTTTGTCAGCGGCGAGCTTCTTGGCGAGCGGGCTGGCGAACACACGACCCTTCCTCGGGGCTGCGGGGGGGGCAGCGGCGACTGGAGCAGGACTGGGAGCTGCTGGAGCTGCAGCCTGGAACAGAAACATTACCGTTCAAACATCACAATCATACCTGTACAAGTTCTATTCATCTAAATAAAGGAACATTTCAGGATGTTGTTGTGTAAACGTTTTGCTTATATTTGAAAGTGAGAGCTGAGTCTCACCGGTGCCGGAGCTGGAGGTGGAGCGGCAACATCTGTCACTCCGGTCTCTACATAATCCTTGAAGGCAGCGATATCACTTTCTCTCTCCACAATGATGCAGAGCGGCACTCCCAGGGGAACGTCCCGGGTTCCCTCTGGCACCATGATTTTAGCCAAATATCCCTCCTCCTGCACCTCGAAGCCTACACACACACACACACACACACACACACACACACACACACACACACACACACACACACATACACACCAGACAGGGACATGTTGAGCAAGCTGAGCTCTGCCTGTCAGGCTGTACTACAGGATAACATAATAGTGTAACAATGACAGTTCCTGATATGGGACACCCACATCACACATGGCATGGCAGAATAAAAATAACAGTTTGGTTTTACCGATGGTGGCCTTGTCAGTCTCGATCTCAGCCAGCAGATCTCCTTCACTCAGCTTCTCTCCCACTTTCTTCTCCCAGCGCTGCACTGTTCCCACCGTCATGGTGGGAGAGAGGGCAGGAAGTGTGACCTGTAACACACAGGAGCGTGAGCAACAGGAGAAATACATATAACTGCAACATCCCCAGGTCACGTGTGGATTTGGTCAATTGTTAAAAGCTGCCTCTAAATAAGTTAAAGCTGTTCTCAAGTTCCTGGTAACTCTCAGCCAAACATACTATTGTGTTCAAGAGACACAACGTTGTTTTTATTTTCACAAACAATGGTAGCCTTGACACTATGATGACAACATGGGAGACCACGGGTAGACACATCAAGTGCAGCAGGAAAAAAGGTTGAACACAACATATCTGTAAATATTTCTAACTTTTTCTCATTGTAAATATGTCTTGCTGCTGTTATCATCACTGACTCACACATTGTATAGCTACTCACATTGACCAAGAAAAAACAGCATAAAACAGTTTAGTATAATATAAGTATTGGGATTCTCTGCTTGAAGGTCATGTTGTGCATCAAAAGAAAAAACCTCGAGACCATTACTTGAGTAAGAAAAACATGTGGTCTCTTTATTTTCCTTAAAACTGACAAAATCTGCAAGCAGGTCCATCTGGTTTCAAAGGTAAGCTACTATGTGTACATTTGCATTTGACTGTAACATATTTCATATTATTCTGATGGCATCCTTTTTCGTCTAATTTAATACGTTAAAATGGTGGCCGTCTATGTTTTGCTTAAAGCCTGTTTATCTAAGGACACTAAAAATAGTGGTTATTCAATTTCAGCCCAAATAACTCCACCCTACTGCGCTGCTCCAACATGCAGCAGACACACTGAATGACCCTGATGAACGTACAGCACACTGTGACTGTAAACACCCTCCACACCTGACTGAGCTGTTGAGCAGACCTACCTTCATGTGTGTGGGGTAGGAGCTGCCCGGGGCGGCAGGAGCAGCAGGAGGAGAGGAGGAGGAGGCGACCGGTGAAGGGCTGGCTCCAGCTGCTTGAAGAGACTCCAAGGTAACATCCTTAAAAGCTGCGACGAGTTCAGGGCTGCAGCGGGAAATATACACACCAACATTAGACATATATTTACCCAAAGCATTACTACATCTAAACTTAAAGGCCATACATTGTTAGGTTTTTTTTGTTTTTTATTGACCTAAAAATTGCTTTCCTAACTATGTAAAACAGGGGTGGGGAACCTGCGGCCCCCGGGCCGTATACGGCCCGCGAGACCATTTGGTTTGGCCCTCGAGGTAATTTATAAACACACGCAAAAAAGAAAAAAAATCTAGATCGCAAAATAATTAAACAAGCGAGTGCCTGTTTTTCCTGGCAACGGTCATGGTCCTTGAACACAACACGAGCCACGTGGTATATGTCTCGTCTGACAGGGGTGCAGTTCTGACGGAGAGCACCAGAACGTCGCTCCGGCACTTCAGAAAGTGCAGTATCCATAAGGAGCCGTACACATGCTGCAGTTTCTGCGTGGCTGTCTTTAGTTGAAAGCCCAGTGGCGATCTGCTCATCTGTCATACTGATCATACAGTCAATAACTTTGTTGTTATTAGCATCTGGTTAGCTAGCTATGCTAACACATATGAGAAGCTTTTTCTACAACCAGTGAGGTAAAGGCACATCTTTATATGATCATTATAGTTATAAAAAAATAAGAGAATAAAGTAAACAGGTATAAAATACTATACGATAGTAAAAGAAAGTTGTTATTAATAAACAAGAATACAGTTTGAAAGGAGAGTGATTTGTAAAATGTCCATAAAGAAAAAGAAAATCTGCTTCCAGTTCTGTTTCATCTGGGTGTTGAGAGATGTATCCATAGATCTCTTCATGTTGCTCTCAAAGTGCACCAGATTGATGCTTTCAACTTCAATATTTAAAAACAAATCTTCCCAGGGGAGCATGCCCCCGGACCCCCCTAGAGGAGGTTAGGTCCCCCCCCCACTTAAATCATGTCCACATGGATAGGAAACTAAATACATTTGCACACATCTTGTGTCCATATCTTTCTGTTTGGTGGTCATGCCACAACCGGTCAATAATGTGTACGGCCCTCAGAGGATGTTGAAAAAATTGAAATGGCCCTTGAGAGGAAAAAGGTTCCCCACCCCTGATGTAAAACAACGTGTAACAAATAGATAAATACCTTCAGACTATTAGTATTCAAATAAGAAATGGTCCTCCTGTAACCCTTTTAATGCAGCAACAACTTGGTCAAAACTTCCAGTGTCTAACAATATCATTTCAGTTTATAATGTGAATAAACCAAGAGTTAATAGAATATATCAAGCCCAGGGTCAATGATACAGCTATACCATTTCGGGTCAATATAAATGATCACTAGAATGTATCCCTATTTTGGAGCTACCGATTGATCATCGCTGCAGCCCAAGACAGTGGAGATTGCTTTAAAGAAACACTAACAAGCCAGAGCTTGTTTTCCTCTGAAGCAGAATGGAAAGGTGGAGCCAGATCTATTTTTTTTTTTGGAATGCACTTCCTGCCGAGATCCGTAATGCTGCCTCCCTGGACATCTTCAAATCATCACTAAAAACACACCTGTTCACCCTGGCCTTCGGGCCCGAGCCCTTTTCTGGTCCCCCGGCTTCCTTTATTTATTTATTTCACGCCCGTTGATTGTCCGTTTGTTTTGTTTGTCCACCATGTACAGCGACCTTGGGTCCCTTGAAAGGCGCTATATAAATATCATTTATTATTATTATTATTATTATTTTCACAGCACTGGTCCAGCCTTATGAGTCTAAAGTAAAAGCAACAAACAGTAAAAAAAAGATTTCCAGCGACTGAGAAAGAGTTGTGAATCCTATGGTTTCACATTATATATTGTGATTTTAAAAAGTGTCTATTATCATCTGGCCAGGGATAACAGCTGGAAATTAGCCATGTTGGCTAAAGCTGCCCCATTTACTGTTTGTTGTGACAGTTGATCAATGGGGACTGTCCACGACACTATAAACAAATAAACTAAACATTATTGACCGCACAATTGCAGACTAATTCGAATAAGAGCTTTTTTTACACTAAGGTCACCTTGATTTTCAGCCTTTACTTTACAACGATATAAACGTACCTGTCGACTGTGATGCAGATTACAGCTCCAATGCTGACATCTCTGGTCCCTTCGGGCACCAGGATCTTTGCCAGGTAGCACTCCTCCATCATCTCAAACCCTACGGTGGCCTTGTCAGTCTCCACCTACAAAGATAGGACACATTTGATAAAGTGTATAGTGGTATATTAATTTCTTTCAATAATATAATCACAAACACACAGCTCCATACCTCAGCTATGAGTTCGCCCTCGCCGATTTTTTCTCCTTCCTTCTTCTCCCAGCGAGCGATGGTTCCTGTCTGCATGGTGGGGGACAGTGCAGGGAGCTCCACCTAGGGAACCAACAATAAAAATATCAGGAATTTGAGCAATAAGAAATCAAGAATAAAGGAATCATGAGACATCAAAAACACAGACGGCCAGGTCCTAGGTGTTGTAACATTCGGCTGCCTTTCAAAGAGGTCACCTGAGATCTGATCTGATAGCAGATAGAAGTGGCAGTGGGGGGTCCTAAAGAGAATGACATTGATATTTGTTTCCAGCTGTGGGAAGTTCATTCGAATTTTTCATGAAAAAATACTGACTTTCCCAGAGTGCCCACACTACATACTTAACACCTGCTGAAAACAAGTGTTGAGGTGTGTACTTTGTCAGCATACGACAAGCCACTGATGGAAATGCAGCTACATCATGACTTAAGACTCAGAGTAATCAAAAATACATTTAATTTAATTTATGTTCTGTTCTTTTTTTTGCTGGTGTGCAACCGGATGACAATTGAAGCCAAATCTGTAATTAGGTCACATTTTCTAAAACTGATGAGTCTGGAATACATGCATGTTTTTGTTTGTTTACATTTATGTTGGCTATCTTTTCCAATGTGTATGGACTGGGACCCCCAATGGTGGCCACACACAGCAATATTAACATTAACATCTCCACTGGCCCACAATAAAGCACTTATAACAATAACAACAATACAAAAACAACAACAACAATGACTGTAAATGCTTATACCACCAAGCAAAGACACAGCCCATAGTGCTTTACAAAACTAGATCAGATGCATATAAACAATAACAAGCAGAATCAATCAAACTGAGAGGAAAACAATCAGCAGTTTGTTCATAATAATCTAAACTCCATTTTAGCATATGGGGACACTTTGTAACTCAAGTCTGAATGTCATTTAATGAAAACATGTCAGGACTCAGATGCCTATGTTCCAACCTCCAGTGGTGTCACCGACCTACTGGCCTGCTAAATGCGTTTAGGTAAAGCTAAGAAACGCTGTTTTTGCAGATAGTGCAGTTTAAAACTCGTGCAGCTGCTGGGTGTAACCTTTACAGCAGTGACAGAGTGAGTGAGCTCTCCACAGCGCTGTCATCTCAAGCTAGCTCGGGAGGTCATGCTAGCTGTAACCGTTGGTGCTGTAGTACCTGACAGTCGTCAACGTTACCTTCTGGTGCGGCGGCAGGCAGTAGAACCGCACACTCTGACAGCTCAGCCCGGGACACCGCAGCAGAGCCGCCCTGTTGCTGAGGCCGGAGCTCCAGCACACGGTCCGGGACCCGCAGTGCAGCCGCCTCAGGGCACCGGTCCCGGGCACGGAGCGGGAGCTGAGCGCAGCAGGCCCGGCCGGGAGGGCACGGGGACAACGGAGCCCGGAGGACGGCCTGAGCCGCAAGATCAGACGAAGCATTTCGCAGAGATTGAAACACTATACAGAGCTGTTGAATAATGTATTTCTCTTAAACCAACATCAGATGGAGGAGTGTTGCTCTGACTGGAGGACCGGACCGGTTTTTAGCTACTCCTCACTTTCTAATGACCTCCTCCAGTCCAAACACAACGCTTTACGGCTCCACTCCTTGTCCTGCCGTAGCTTGGAGATAAGTGTCGTAAACGATATCCGTTTAAAATGTAGACATAAGATTTCATTTTTTTTTAAATCCACCACAACATCAAAGTTGAATGAAAAACATTTTTAATCAAAAAGCCTAAAACTTGAAATTAAAAACTAAGAGAAGGATTCGCAAGGTAGCTGCAATTATATCAATGTCCACACGATGGCAGTGAAATAATTCAATGGGTTTGGAGCCTGACATTTGCATTTGAAATGTGTTAACAAATCAACAATGAACCAAATGTATTACGATGTAAGTTAATGAAAGAGATGATAAAATAACAAGATTAAAAAATAATGCTTATAATGAATATGTTAGTGAGGATAAAATGTCAATGTAACTTTACTTTTCAATGCAAGATAAACAAAAAGCAGTAATAATTGTTTTAAATGTATACTGGAAAAGTACAATGTTCGGTGAATGCAGCAGCTGTCAAACTATGCAGTTACTTTTATTCTGCATATCAATTCAACATGTAACACCGTTTTACTCTCACCTTATTCTCTAGTTCTCTCCTCTCTTTTTCTATTTATCATTAAGGTTTTAAGCTCATATAATTCCATGACAACATAGATAAAATGATGTTTTGTTTAACATACAACATTAAGAGCTAAATTGCCAAGACCTGGTAATCTGAAGCTTTTATCAGTAAAAACCCCACCGTCTCCAGTATCAATAAGAAACGGAACATATTTATATAAACAAAACTTGGTTTATTTCAAAATATCTGTCTTTTCTAACATTCAACAAAGGTCCTTTTTATTTTTAACAGACAGTTTTCACACATAGTTCAGTAAACAAATTCTGAATAACCATCTCTCCAACTAATTGTACATATTATAGTTCAGGCAGTTATGGCATTAAAACAGGTCAAAAGTAAATTGATGCATATTTCAGTTGGCTTGTTAGTAAAGGTAAACACATTGATCCCAACGTGAAGATAAAGCAGAGTGAAGGAAAATTTGACAAAGGTCCATCCTGATCGCTTTTCTCACTCACTCACTCACTCACTCACTCACTCACTCACTCACTCACTCACTCACTCACTCACTCACTCACTCACTCACTCACTCACTCACTCACTCACTCACTCACACACACACACACACACACCACACACACACACACACCACACACACACACACACACACACACACACACACACACCATAAATAGTTGGGTGGTCCTTTGTTCTAGCAGTCTCCTTTAAATCTCTGACGTAAAATTCACATCTCACAGGAATCTCTCTTTGAACAAAGAATATTCACAAACTTAAAAAATGTAAGGACATAGACTTAATACGTTTACACAAATGTACAAAAACAATTTCATAAAGTAACAAAACTACAGTGCTGTTCGTCTGTATTTGTACATAAACACAAAAGTTCCAGCATCATTTATTTTTCACGAAATGCAGTTCAGTTTAAGCGTTTCGGTCTACATCAACCCAGATTAGAACTAAGGTCCTTTCTGCTGAAACTGATGATATCAATTCAGGAGATTTTTCCTTTGAACTACATTTTATTCTCTGTTTGGACATCTCAAGATGACTGTCACCCTTTGTGTTATCTGCGGCCTGCCTAAAAGGGTTTTGTATTTACATATATAGACATATATGTTAATACAAAACGTATTAATAGTAGAAGAAGCTGGTTTCTGGGCAGATTATTTGTACGCATTAGGTCAGAATGTCACCAAACCTTGTGAACTACTAAAACAAAACGAAATTGTACAAAGTTTGCATGACTTTTTCGGTGCTTGTAACCTTTCTATTATAAAAGTGGTATTTTTTCCTCACCCAAAATAAGTTTTGTCTATTTTTATGCTATGGTAGATAATACTGTAATTTCACTTTACATTCACAAGTAAGATTGAAAAGTAGTCATACATATTTCTAGTATGTAGTCTGGCTTGTTCCAAAGACCTTAGTAATACACAAGAATAAAAAGTGATACTGAACTCTTCAACATGAGAATAAACATGTTTTTTCCTCTTAACAGTAAAAACCTCTTAACTAGAGAAGAAACAACACAACTGTGTGTTTAGAAAAAGGTCATTTAAATAAATTGTCCATCTACTTTCCAGTTTTGATACTACAGTACAGCATGGCAATAATAAGCAAATTATGGAAACAGCTTTTCTAAGGCACTGAGTTTGATGATATTCTAGTTAAAGATTGTTTAAGGCTATCAGTGTGATTTAGTACCAGCTTGTTGAAAATTCATACAGTATTTCACTAATAATGTTGGCTCTTAGAAGTGTCCACTGGTGCCTCCGGTGAACAGTTGTCTGGATGGGCCTCTTGGATCATCCTGACTAGGGGCAAAAACAGAGTGTCATGGCAGCTTAGCTTGCACCTACAATGGCCTAAAAAACAAAGATACTGCTTACTGCGGAGAGTCAACAGAGACAGAGATACAGAAATAATGCAGTACCTTTCTTCCCCATGGTCCTCTTCTACCCAAGCCACTATTTTCCCTTCCCAGCCTGGAATAATTGCTCCATCCAAAAATACCTGCACAAAGAAATAAATACAGCGTACACTCAAACAAATGTTAAGTGTCTATCATAAGATTGCTTCAGCCCTCATCCACTCCACTGCTTTTCTGCACACGTTCAAGTGTAAAAGGATCTTTAAAGTGTTGCACAAAACAGGCTAGATGGAAGTACTTAAAGGGGACCTATCATGCAAAATGCACTTTTTGATGTCTTTTGTACATAAAGATGTGTCCCCGGTGTATCAGGGAACTCATGCAGCGTCAGAAAATAAAACCCTCTCTCTTTTCCTCTGTACCCATATCTCTAAAAACGGGGGCACAACGGAGCTGTTCCATATTTGCGTCCGATATGACGCAATATCGGAAATGTGGACCCACGGCACTATCATAAAGTTGCTATCAGAAACAATGCCCGACTGTTTTGGACGTAACATGGTCGGTGTTTACATTAGCATCGCTAACACTCAGAGCTAACATGTACTGGAGAGCATGTGTGTGAAGAAGCAGGAAATAAAAAGGAACTCACCTTGTGGTATAACCGGCAAGAGAGAAAGCCTTTGAGCTCCATACTGTTTCAGAGATAATCCTTGATAATCCATGATATGGCGTTTCATCACGGCAGTATTTAGTTTAGACAGTAGCTGCCCCGCATGAGCTCAGCCCCCTCCTTTTTTATTTTGGATAATTTTTTTTAAAGCTTTATACCCTAAATCAGCACTTTTGAAACAGGAAGTGAAATATAGGGATATGAGGCATGGCTAGAATGGGTGATCTGTTTGGTATTTTGAGCAAAACACATCATAGACATATTTTTTATATTTTTGTATATATCTGAGACCTATGCTATTGCCTAAAAATAGCATGATAGGTGACCTTTAATGTTTTAATTTGAGTTTATTCAGTTTTCTATTCACCAAATGACTGTCCTGTTATCTATTTGTTTCTACACCTTCTCTCACCTCTTCTTTCACAGTGCCAAACTCAGGGTCCAGGGCCTTGAAGTGATACCTGTAGTTTCCCTCTCGATCCACAGCTGCCTTTACGTCCTTTAAAGTCACCTCACCCAGCCTGTACAATGTGAACACAAAAACACACTCATCATGACCGCTTTATTTTATATTTTTGTACTTGTTTTCTTCCTATTGCTGACAAGTCTAAAGTCAGGTGTTATGATTGTCAGCATCGATTCTGTCTGTCAACCAAAACATTGCAACATATTTACATTTTTTTTCTTTATACACACAAAAACTCACCTTTTCGGTATATTGATCATGGAAGGTGTTGGGGATTTTCCAGTAAAATAAAGAATTTTAGTGGAGGCAGAAGACCCACTATTGGTGTGACATACAGCTGTGATAACAGAAACATAGTCAGTAAGATTGTTAATGTTTGAGCATTTGAATTTGGGAGGTAGGATTTGGAATAACTTACTTGTGGAAGACCAGGTTTCAGAGTCAGTGAGTTGGCCTTTGCGTCTTGGAGACTTCCCCCTTCCCTGTTGTGTTTGAGAAAATGTTGAGTCCCCTCTATGATTTTAAATATCTACATTTTGCCAAAACAAACTAGAACAAATATGAATTCACAGTAGTAAGACAATTTCATATCCAAGGTTCAAGGTTCTTTATTTGTCAAACTAACATAGCTACAGTGTAGTTATGTCGATCGATGAAAATCTTGTGTCACAGGCTTCTCCAACAGTGCAACACAATAACACAGATAAACAGAAAAATATAGTGCAAGTAAATAGTAAATAGTTTAAAAAAGTGAAATAGTGAAATAGTGCAATGAGAGTCTATATGCAAGTCATTGAAATATGATATATTAGGTAAATAGATCATTAATTTTTAAGTAGCAGCCAGATGAATATAGTGGATGTTGTTTCAAAAGTTCAGGTGTTTAACAGTCTTATTGCCTGTGGGATGAAACTGTCCCTGAGTCTGGTGGTTTTAGTCCGGATGCTACACTTTCATTTATGCTTACTCCATTAGGCAGTCAAATCAGATGTTAAAGTGGCAATCTATGTATAGTTTAGGAAGTCAGTGTGCTCGTACCCTGTGTGTGTGCACAACATGCAGTCTGTCAATGAGTGACACTATGCCCTGCTCCAGGGTGTCCAGAGTGTGGTGCTGCGGGTCGTGATCTCGGAAGTTGTTCCTCAAACTCCGAAGTGAATCTCTGAGCAGCTGAACCTCCTCTGCCTGCTAGCAAAACCATGTCAAAAACACAAACCCTCATTTTATCATCAGCCGCTGCGTAATTGTTTCAAGCCTTACAGTACTTGTTTATGCATGACATTT